AAGTTGTTGAAGGTCCGGCACGCCCTAGGGCACAGCGGCGTAGGAATAATACATATATGTGATCAACGACTCGACGAGCATGCATTCTAGTCTAGGGATTCCCCGGACTCTCGGGCCGTCTCACGACATCAAGTTACAGCTAATGATTTCCCATTTGAGATGATACTTGGACGTGATGCGGTATCACGTGAGGTAGGTAAAACGGTAGCAGGTCCTTGGTGTGCAGGCACGCGGGGTTCACGATACGAGTCTCAAGTTTGAGAACTGCTTCTCCAAGCCCGCTTCCAGCCTCTAGCGAATTCGAGGCATTTAGATTGCCCCAGACCGGTGAGGATACCGGAACCTTTACTTGGAAAATGTCCCCAAGGGCACTACATGTACTGACTCAGGGAATTGCCAGGACATGAAGCAATCCTCAACTCGCTTCGTCCAGTGTTTACATGTACAATACCTGCTATTCAGAGCCCCCCTCGTTGTTGAAGTTTCAATTTGATCCTCCAATGTCTCCCAGGGAGCCAACAATCACCAATCCATACCGCCACCTTAAACCCCAGCATCCCCATGATCGTCCATCAAACTCATAGCAAAGCATCGACTTCTTGTCGCGTTCCTGTTTCTGGACAATTTTGGAGATGAGTAGGTAACGACGTCGGCTGCCATATGAGAAGACGCCGCTTGCGGCTAACTCCATCTCGTCAAAATTGTGATAGCCAATGTGCTCATTTCGGTCGTCAACATTGGGTTATCCGTTGACATCGTTGTAGGCGAACTGGAAATAGATGCGATTAGCGCGATCTTCGTCCTGCGCTAAGGAATTCATCTTCTGTCGCTTAACCCTGGCGGCTGGCACTCCCCACGGATCGGCCATCTGTCCGACTGAACGCTTCCTGCCGATCAACCTGCCTTTGACATCTCTGTCCCGGTTAGTGTTGGAGGCACCAGGGCTCCTATCGTCCTCGCCGGAGTCTTCAGGGTCGCTATATGGGCAGTGTTTGGGCTGCTCCTCTCTGAGCATTTCGACGTCCCGCCTGGACATCCCCACCAACATTGTTCCTTCAATAGTGCCGAAGCAGAACGACGCAACAACGCCATGCGAACTCTTGACCGGGAAGATGTTGAGCTTCATGAGATTGCTGTCGTTGTAGTCGTCCGAATTGGGACCTCCATAGCGCTCAACCAGGTAACAACCCAGCAGGTGTGCAATCCCCGAGGGCTCGGCCGTTGCTGCTGTTGTACGAAAAAGTCGTAATGTGGCTTATATCGACGGTCCCTCCTCGCCTTCTTCTCGAGTCTCTTCTTTTCATGCTCGGTGCGTATCTCGGCCCCCTCTTTCAGCTGCTCCTGGAAATACTCCTCTTTTAGGCGCTCCATTCCACGCCCACTTCCCCGGCGTCCCACCCGATAACAGCGGACACACCATACTTCTTGAGTGGAGATCAAGCGTTCTCGAAACCATTTGGTCTGGGAGTTTCTGGTTCTGGAGTTGAAACCGGCTGAGAGTCACCGGGGTGGATGACTTCCCTCTTGTTGTGAGGATGTTGCCATCGATGTCGACAGCGAGATACCTGCTGAGAAACCACTCCAAGTCGAGATTTTTCCTGGGCGCTGCGAATTTCCTTCTTTCTATCGAAAAAGGGTCTCGAGCCGCGCAAACTCATTCTCAATGCCCCTCTGCATGGTATCCTCCCAGCCGGCAAACACGGTGCTCCAAGTCTTCAGGATGACAAGGTCTGGAAAAGCCGCGATCACCTCGTCAAACTCGTCTTGGTTGTTCCACAAGCGAAACGAAAGCGGGCCTAGAGTCTTCTTTCCGTCCGGCCGCCCTTCGGAGTCCAGGAAGTACTTTGCAATGAGGCGGGGTGGATCGGAGTTGGTCTCTTCCGCAGGGCCGCCCTTGATTTTTGGCGAGCATCATGTCCTCGAGCTGCCTATGGGCATCATCGTATTTGCTGTTGGACTCATGCGGCCTGCGGCAAGATATATCAGATATTCAACTCGAGGACGGATAACAGGGGCCGACCGCGAGCCTTTGGGCCGCAGGAGCCTACAGCGGTAGAAGAAGCCGCCAACACAATTGCAGTTTGGACGGGGGGGACTGCCGACACGGACAGAGTAATGGAGGAGGCCTGGAGAGAGAGGTGGCTCAAGGAACGAGACGGCCGGACAGCAACGAGGCCCGCAGATGACCTTGACCACCAGCACGAGACTCTGTTCCAAGACAAAACCCTAAGGAGACACGACGGCCTCAGCAGAGCGAAGAGTTCACTGTTGATCCAAATTCGAACCGGGGCCATAGGCCTTCGGGCTTTCTTATTCGAAAGGAGAGTCCCAGAGGTACTGACGCCTATATGCGAGTGTGGAGAGGGGCGAGAGACTGTCGAACACCTTGTGATGTGGTGCTTGGCCCCACCGTTGACTCGAAGATGGGAGAGAGCCGAGATCAGAACGCGAAGGGACTTTTATTCTGTCCTACAGGGAATCAGTCCCAAAGCTGCACGGCTAACGGGGAGGATCCTGGACTGGCTGATGGACTCGGGGAAACTGCCGATGTACAGTCTGGCCAGGAGGCTGGAGCTGGAGCTCGCAGTCTGATACCCTTTCCTTCGAAGGCCAAGAGGCCTTCCCACTTTGTATTTGCAGGATCACACACTGATCGTTTCCTTGATTGTCGATATGGGTTTTTCACCCGGCCCAAGAGGGCGCGGTTTTCCTGTATAGTAAGTTGTTGAAGGTCCGGCACGCCCTAGGGCACAGCGGCGTAGGAATAATATATATTTGCTGTTGGAGACGGTCTGCTAGTTCATCGCACTAGCAGGTATCTTCGTCAGCCCAGTGGGGTGAACAGAAGGTCCATGCTGATTTTCTCAACTCACCTTTTCAGCATGAAGGGCGTGATGCAACAAGTCCTTCAGATAGTTCTACCGACCCCCCTCCCTGATTGGAATTCCATAGAAATGCAGCTGTGTAAAGTACCATTGTTTGGTAGATGCCTTCTCGCCCGAGCGGCTCGAGAGAAGGTGGCGCATTTCGCAAGGTTTCGCCCGGGCGATGCCGTCCATTCTGGAAACATCTTGCATGCATCGTCGAAAGTGCTGGTATCCCGTCCGTAGGTATCGGAGGAGAAATAGCTGAGTTGGGAGCTATGGGGCCGTTGTGAGTTCTCCAGCGGTACCTGCGTAGCACCATTTTGCTGGCTGAGAGTTGCTTTGATGATGGCTCCTTCACTGAGACGGGAAGGTTGAATTCTCTCAGAAAGGCATACGTACGGAAGCCGATAGGCACAAAACGAACATAACCACCTTAGCACTCGAGCATTGCGACCATTTTACTTAGCTCGCACCAGGGGGGTGATTAGAAAATTGCTAGTGAGCCCCCATCACTAGTCTACATCTTTGAGCCATTTAAAAACAAAGCCCAATGCTGGCCAGTTAGAGCCAAGAACCTAATCCCCTTTCATTGCATATACAGCCGCGCCGCTATAATTTCCCCCAAACTTTCCCCTTCCTCCACAACACTCCATCCCCTACCTGCAGTACGTGTACGACCCCCACTCTCTACACGAAGCTTTCCTCGATCCCCCGTAGTATAAGGACAACACTCACAGATTGGGTAAACGGGAGAATCGAGGTTCTCAAGCTTGAACTTGCTATGGTCGACGGGACAGCCGAGTTCATCGGCGTTACCAGAACAAACGTTGCTCGCTATGTCCGTCGTTGTACACGTATTGTCGCGTTGCTGTCTGTTTTCTAGTGTAACTTGATGATCTGGAGGTGACGAACTTTTTGCAGGGGTTTGATTAACGTAAGGTTTATGCATTGGCTATACTGTGTGGCTTAAGTAGTGGTTAAATGCAACGCTTCCTACTTTTGACTACCATTTATTAATATAGGTTTGATGTCGTAAAGTAGTGAGTAATTGAGCATTGAGGGCGTAAATGTAGTAAGCACGCTAGTACTGAAGTAGATATACTCGTTTTGTGCCTATCGGCTCCGTACATCAGGCTAATTATGTAGCAACACCCTAACCCCAGCGTACTTCAACCACGCCCCACTCCACGTCCCACGCTCGCGCTGGCCGGAGCGATGACCGTAGTCTTAGCGATGAACAATCCGAGTTCGCCAAAAACAAGACTACCTTAGATGAACGGACCGAAACGGCACCATTGACCCAGGGGATATTGTGGCAAATCCCCAGTGACCGCTGCTTGAGCTTTTTAAAATAGTTCCCGTCACTGACCTTCCATGTGCTCAAGCTCTCTCGGAGATCACAAGCGACAGTGCCAAGGAGGCGTTTCGAACAGTAACCACACATGGCGGAAGAATCGCGTATCGTTTCCTACCCGACCTTGGCTCCCTCTTGATCACTTCGCACCGCATTGCACTCGCAAGGCCAAGAGCAGTCCGCTACGAGGACTGCTGATGTCTGGCCAGCTATTACAACAAGGAACCCGAGTCACGTTTTGAGTGTGCTGCGAGCTCCCATCCGATCCCGCTGTGAGACCACTGACCGCGGCCGGGTGACTCAGCAAGGAACGAGCAACCTCAGATACATTTGCTTGCCTGAAATGCAAATGCACATTTAAGACAAGACACGCCGAGCATCAGGAGAAAGAATCGAGGTGAGTCAGTGCTTTGTTTGTTTGGTTCAATCAACAAACTCACAATATGCAGTGCCCCTTGTTTCTCTCAGCTTTCCCTGGCAAACACGAAGCATCTCACCACGATGAACAGCACCATCGATGATGCGGCAGCAAATTCCCAAGACGGGAATAAGACTTCCACTCTTAGCGAGATGGACTCGATTCTCGCTGCCTTGAAGTCCATCGCCAAGTATAAAGCCCGCTCCTACGACACTTCTAAGAACGTACATGTTCCGTTGTTGCAAGCCCATACAAAAGACTCTCCCGAGAACGGTCCAACAGTCGTCCTCCTCGGCGACTCCATGCTGGAACGCATGACCACAACCGGCCAGTCCCCCAACTTTGTCGCGCCCTGGCCGTCCCCGGTAATGCTCAACGACGACACCCTGTCCAGATACCAGCTCAAGTCCGATGAGCACCCCACCCTGCACCGATTCGATCGCGTGTTCAACGCTGGCGTGGGCGGTGACAAGATACAAAACGTTGCCTACCGGCTTGTTGGAGACGAGGAGAGGGGACTACCAGGGTTGTTGCCCTTGTTGGCGAGATGTGGGACCGTCAAAGTATGGCTTGTTCACGTTGGGACCAACAACCTGTCGCCGAGATATGGGTTGAGGTACGAGGATGTGGCTGCGCTGGAGGTACTGCTCAGGGCATTGCTGCGCGCCAGTCCAAGGTCTCGATTGCTATTGACTGGGCTGTTTGACAGAAAGGACATGTCAAGCCACGTCGTTTGGGGCGCAGACGACAAGCTGAAAGATCTGGGCAACCTGCTCATGGACCGGGGCGCGATCGAAAGGGTGCTGTTCATATCTCGCCCTCTTGAGATCAACATAGAGGAGCACTTGGTGGATCACGTCCATCTGAACTTGGCTGGATATCGCGTGTGGACTGAGTTTCTGTTTGTGTCAATGGTGGCGGCGTTACAGTGGGTGGACAGGAACGACAACTAAAGCGCTTGTCATCACTGTATGAGACGGAAAATATGCTGATATTCTCAGATTTCGAAGTGTTTGGCGGAAGTAGATGTATGGAAACATACAAATCCGCTGATCAAACTAAGGTACCTTACTTACCCCGTCAAGTTGCTGTCTTGTGACCAATGAGAATAGAATGCAACATCGGGATATAATAGTGTCACTCGACCAGGTAAACACCAAAATTGCAGTCACCTAAGGTGGTCATGCGTTCCAAAAATGCACAGTCACCTAAGGTGGTCATCCGTTACCAGGCAGTCTAAAGGTCTAACCTATTTTAACGCTCTTTATAAGCTAAGTTATTTGATCATCCACAAACCGCTAACGTTATTCCCACAAACAGCTGAGTCCGACTTCACTTGTTACAAGGCACCTGTACTCAAACAGATAACTTCATAAGCGTTCTGAACTACATATACACAGGTTATCCTCAACTGGCGTGAGTGAATCATGAGCGCGGACGCACCCGAGTATGTTACTGTCCTGTACCCTGCTCGCTCCCCTAACCCCTTGTCGGAGGACATGCGGTGCTTTTTCTGCCTGACGCAAAGGCAATCCAGGACGAATGCCCTGACATCCTCACCAAGATAGACAAACCCTTCTGGAATATCGACCATGGAGGGAGGGCCTACGATGGGACGGAGACGATGGGTCCGTGAGAAAATTCAGATCTTGAGTGGCCTGTTTCCACTTTCAATCGATTGCGGCACAGCAAGACAACGTTGCCCGAGGGTCGCATCGTCTACATTGGCGGGGAACACGAGGACTGGTACGACCCCGACTCCTTCAAGGCTTCATCTACAATGATGTGGTCGTCATAATCAAGCCAGGCGACGGGAGAAACAACGGAGAAACTGAAGCGACATCCGAAGGAGCAACTTCTGATGAAGCCGAAATCTAAAGCTATCCGACTGACGTCTTCCCACCCACCAATTTCCACACTGCGACTTACTGCAAGAACTGGGAAGCATGAGTTAGACTCTTCATGTTACCAGGGATCTTTCGATGTTGATATGTGATCACGGTCTGGAGATGGTCGTTTCTAGAGTCACGAAAGAATAGAGCTTCATGTTTTATCAGGAGTACGCGCCCAGTTTCCCTCTCCTCTTGTTGTTGTTGCCAGCCAATCGCGAGACAATGGGCTTATAATGACGGTGGCTTGTTCCATGTGAATGGATGTCTCACCCAATAGGTTCTGAAAACCCCCCCCCTTCCCCCCCCCCGGCCGTATCCACCCGTTGAATAGGTGCAAATATTCTTGCGGGACAGTTCTGTGAAATCCGTGCTGCCTCACGCTGATGTCTCACCAGAGGTCCTTCAGGTAGTTCCCTCGACGGCGGTCCTTGAGAATGCACTCCAACATCTCCATATCCTGGATCGACTTGAAGCTTGGCGAAGATGCGTCGTTTGACGGCACGCTGCCACGGCCGGGTCATGGTGGCATACTGGGCTAAACGACCGGAAGCCGAGTTTGTTGAAATGTAAATCTTCGGCGATGAGGTCGATGAGCTCTTGTGGTGAATTGCTCATGATAGCTCCGATGCTCCAAGTTGGCGTCCACGTTGGTGCGGCGGGCTCGAACTTCATGAAAGCTCTCTCAGATGGAGAATGGCGCTTTGGCTCTTGCATGAGCTTATTGAGTGACCTTCCTCCGGGTACAGGGATAAATTGCCTTGCCTTGGGAGCTCGTACCTGACTGGATCCAACAACAGTGGCAAAAAGAAGAGGGAACTGGGAAAGTCGCACTGAACGGAAGGAGCCCTCAACAGGCGACTTCTTTGTATAACCCGCTCAATCGGGCATCCGCACCGTTGTACGAGCCGCCTTTTCTCATACTTTATCCATTGAGATCAGTTAAGGAATGCTGAGCTTGTTTATTATTTGTCGCTGGTTGAGGGCATAGAGCGTATCGTCAGCGGGAGAGTTTGCCGACCATCATATTTTCGTACCACCATTCGATTCCAAACTGCGAAGGACCTCCACAGCAACGAAGTTGAATGCAAAGGTGGCCTCAGGGAGAACACTGGCAGCAACCCTTCCTGGGCCGTTTATTCCATCTGATGAGCCCGAGTCTTAAACCCAGGTGTGCCTCAGGCGCAATCCCTCGCACTTCAATTACTCGCCGCCCTCGCCGCCTCACAATCCTTCCCGTTCTTATCCCCATGCTGTCCTGCCGAAACACCATTCTTCAACGCTGTCACCACTCTGGGATATCTCTGCTTCCCCTGGGACATAACCACGGTATTGTCCTCGATGCCGCTTGAGATCTCCGCCTTCTTCTTCACTCTCTCCTTTTCCTCGTAGCTCACTTGGCAGATGGTCACTTCTTGAGTTCGGTCCAGTACACGCAAACCTGGCTTGTTTCGATTGCTTCAGGCAACCACTCAAGCTCGGCGAGCTCTTGAAGTTCAGCCGCTGAAGAAACCGGGCTGTTGGGGGTCAGGATGATGTGATAGCGGGATGTTGGTTGCGTCTTGAACGTTCCAGCTTGGAGGTCCCTTGGAGTTTGTTCCCAAAGTCCGGCGGCCCAGGGAGAGTCGTTCTCTTCTTGTTTTGCGAGGAGCCATCTTCAATTTCGCTAATTCGCGTTGGAGAGCCGACATTTGATGGGTTGTGAGGCGACAGGTGGATGATAGTTTGGGGGCTCGATGGGGCAGAGGTGGGAATGCTGCTCGGCGTCGCCCAGCACGAGGAGGTATGTGCTACATACTGTATTCTGTGAGAAACAGTATGATGTGATGGAAAATCCTACGCCCGCAATCTTAATTGGGGCGCCAGTCTCTGGGCTAGCCTCACTACTGAAATTCTGCAGCCGCCATCGCCAGCGCCTCTTTGCATCTCGGACACCACATTACTCCATATCCAGCAACTGAATCAAATTGCTGAGTGCTTTAATTCTTCCCAGTTTTGGATGTTTTGCCAACCAGCATCGGTTGACGGCCTCCGGCACGCAGTATCCGGCCCTCGTCCGCCAACTCAGCCCCACATCGGTGCTTAACCCGACAACTTCAATCCCGACCGCAGCAGGCCCGCTAAAGAGTTGCCAGTCACGTGAATGAGTAGGAGGAAAGCCAACGAGAAGGAGGGATCTGTTGGTTTTACGGAGAAGGTTGAGAGCGAGCGAGGGGAAGAGTAACAATGGAAGAGGTGTGATACAGGTTCGAGCACGCAGGAAGCCCGGCCTGCTTAGGACGAAGTTGGCGCATATTCTGCACACGGAAGCCAGACTCGGAGCGATCAGCACCTCAAGAACGTGGCGCGTACATCGCATGTAAGCCGATGGGGCGGATAGTGACGAGCCTCTCGTCCCCGTCGGCGCGTATCAGAGTAATCAGACAGATCAGGACGGCGCCTTCAAATTGCTATCTAGGTAAGGTGAGTACTTCGGTCAGGAAGACGACAAGTGAGGGGCCGGACCGCGCAGGGCGCATATCATATTAGGGAAGGGGGCGATTGGTCACTGCGTGATTCGAACCGCCCTGTTGGGCTACTGCCGAGATGTCAGTATCGCACGCCCGGGTCAGTAAGATACCTTAGGTATTCAGCCAGGGCCGGCCTCGCCTTTCTTTCGACAAAGGCAGGGACTGGAAAGCGAGGAGTCAAGACCGAGGTTACTCCTTGTGCTCCCACACAGCCGCTCTAGGTCATCGATCTGCAACCCTATAGAATAAACCTATCGGGCTACAAGGCGCAATTTGGCAGTGCCAGAAAACCCCAGCACGATATGCAAGTTTAGTGACACAAACGGTTTTGTATGCCCGCTCTCTAGGTAACATCTATGGTCGGACTTGAGGCTGTGCAGGTAGGCCCGATCAATGATAGCCCTAGGCCCGATACACAGAGACGAAGATCCATGGGGACTCCGATCGTTTCCAGTTGACACATTGGACCCAATGAGAATCCTGAAAGGCTGTAGGAGCAATTGCGGAACCGATTACTGCCCAGTTCCGTCCAAGACGTAGCACATACACATTGTAGGAACAGTACTTGAAACCCTTTCTATATACACATAATAGGTGCAACTGCTACTCTCGGAGAATTGGCCCTACATCAACGGTTTAGGTTAGAGCGATGCAGCACTCAGAAGACTTGACGCTCCATAAGTCCCTGATATGGAATACGTCAACAACTCCCAGTTCAAAGTATTGTCGTACGATTAGACCTTGGTCTAACCACCTGCTGTATCTGGTGAATAAGCTGACTGGAGTAACGTTGGACCAACTGAAAACACAATGTGAAGTTTTTTTTATGTGGGCCGAGAAGTGTTGGTCGTCAAGTGAGCTTATTAGAATGCAAGTGCGATTCAAGTGCGAGTTTCGGATTCGAGTGCGAGCTTAGATTGTCGATTGTTGGTGACGGTGCACATTGCTGCTGCATGCAACACGTTCAATGTTCACGGTTGTCGAGGAGCGAGCCGCAAGGCAGATCCCGAGGAGCAATATAGGGGAGGCAAAAAGAAAACATTGAGACAAAGGTAACCGATGGTCAGGTATATAAAGACTCGACCTCGCTGCGTCCAAGTAACCTTTGCATCCAGCATCACTCAACGAAATCCTCATCTCCTCCTACATTGTTCCCAATTTCCCAGACCAGCAACCCGACTTTCTCAAGACTCCCAACATGCAGCTCACCAATGTCATCTCTCTCCTGGCCCTCATGGCTGCCGGCGCCTCCGCTCTCCCCGAGCCTGTCGCCAACATGGCCGAAGGCATCGTCGAGCGCGACTCGGGCCACCTCATCGAGGCTCGTTGCACTGCTAACCTGCCCATCTGCCAGGGCGCGTCGTACGTCGGCGACGACAACTGCAAGTGCCAGGGCCAGGTCCCGCCCTGCGGAAATTGGAAGTGCGGCTGGAGTGGTCCCAGGTCCATCGTTAGTCCATGTCTGAATCGTCTGTGATTTCGAGGTAACTAACAGTTTTGATATAGATGAACTGTGCATCTAAGGGAACTGGTTGCGTGTGGATCAACTAGGAGAAACCAGACCTAGTAAGTGACCTCGTTCGAATAGACCTGGCGTGGATCGACTAATCAAACCGCTCGTACGTTAGATGCGAGCTCGAGAGACCCTAGCAACTCCTTGGGGAAGATATGGCAGGCTAGGGTTTTCAGGAGTTAGCAAGGGACAACTGTCCTAGCATTTCTTCGTGTTTGAACTTTCATCTTCTTGTAGTGGCGGATCCTGATCACCATTACGCGCCTATCGCTTTCTGGTACCTTAGTTTCCAGTCGTTACTCACCCAAAACACTTGCCTGGGCCCGGGCTTAAAACCATCTCTCCGTTCTTCTGCCAGTGTATTGTGACGGGAGTAGACGCTTGATCTATCTGCAGCTGTTTTGGCCATTTCGAGTTCCAGTAATAGTATTCCTTACGTAGACTTCCGCCTCCCACGTCAGGAGACCCCTCCCCGTCTGGTGTGAAGCGTCGCAAAAATTCCGTTCTTTAGCGACTACCTCTCTATCGAAATGCGTGGCCGCCACATATGGCGGGCTGGACGAATACCGTGTAACGCAGTCACGATAACCAGTATGCCCGACTGACTTCCCTGTTGGCGCCGGCGATCGGCGTCCAAGGCAGCGCAAAGAAGCAGTGTACGCGGCGCGGATGTAGCCGTACTTGTCGCTAACCGAGTCAAAGACGAGAGGTCGCAATTTCTTCGCCAGGAGAGGGTTCACCTCAAACCCCCAACAGCACCGTCTCCCTCGGGACGTTTGACCGGCAAGAAGAGGAGGGCCTTCTAGAGAGCAGGCGAGTGCGATATAACACGGTTCCATTCTTCGCTAACGCGCAGAGCCGACACCAACAAGCTGACCATATCGAGTTCGAGCAAGATGGCCTGGAGCAGCTCCGGTGTAGCCAAGACTGCCCTAACTACGCTTCTTACCAGTACGTTCGCGCCGTCCATTGTGACTGGCCGAACACGACTACACTCGGAAACTGGAGGTTAGAGGACGAACCCGAAGCAAGTTAGGTACCTTGGAAAACTAGCCGAGTCTTATTCCGAATGCGCTCGGAGTTGGCTGGGGCCGAGAAACAGCGAACTACCTTAGAGCACCATACTTCAGATGGTGCCTTACAGTACATATAACGATCGCTGATTTGCTAGTTGATCGGAGGAACCTGAGCAGCCATTTGACTTCTTTCCGTTTTGATCGTTTGTCCCGCGTGTCATTCGGAAGCTTGTAGCCAAGATGAATCACCAGACAAACAGCTTGCCCCTTTTGAAAGCTGATTGGAAGTGTGATAGAGTTGGCCTGAATAAGCGGCGGACCATTTTGGTGCGAGTCTCAGGGGCATTACTCAGACCAAACATGTTAAGTCCAAAACGGGCTCTTGTCGCTGCTATAGTGGTGGTCTGCCTGACTGCCCAGCCGCAGTGCGCCGTAGTGGACCGCAATATTGGCAATGCCTGTCAGACAACCCCTAGCAAAGTCCCCTTGGCATTGCCAGGCAGCAGTTTCTACAATCACGCGCGTTCCCACTTCAGTCCCATGGTCAGCTTGTACGAGGGTCGAAGCAATACACAGTAGTAGTCCGATTGGGCTGTCAGATGTCATGGGAAAATTAGGTAGGTAGGTACGGTAGGCAAGGTAGTCATGGGCAAATTAAGGTATGTAGGTAAATGTGCCTTGGGCAGTGATAGTCATGAGCTGCATGTACATAAAGATGGCTTCTCGACACGATCGAGGTCAGCTCGCTCACAACTCGGGCTGGGAGTATCTTCTTTCATCCCAAACATGTGGTGCTTCACGATGCGTGCCAGCGCCATTCTCCTCTCTCTTCTCCTCCCTATCGCCCTTAGCCAGGTGATCGAGGGCGGCTGGACAGCCTTCGGAGACTCATACGCAGCTGGCATAGGCGCGGGCAGCAAACACGCAAGCGACACGGGCGACTGCAGGAGAAGGGTCAATGCCTACCCCAACCAAATCCAAACGGACGGGTCACTTGCGGGGGGGTCGAATGTCCAGTTCAGCTTCCAGGCCTGTTCCAGTGCCAAAATCGCCGAAGTTCAATCCCAAATCACCAAATTCCGAGACGGCCCGGAGCAGCTGCGAGGCTTTGCGACCATCTCGATTGGCGGCAACGATGCCGGATTTTCGGAGGTCATCGAGGCCTGTCTTGTCCGTGCCAAGTTCGGCAGCCCGAGCTGCGACTCCGTCATTGAGGCCAAAACCGAAAGGGTCAAGTCCACCGACATGCGTCAGAACCTTGAGGATGCGTATCGCGCCATCTTGGACGCGGCAAAAGCTCCGGGCAAATTGATCACTTCGTTCCGGCTGGTTGTGACAGGTATGTCATCCTGCTCTGCGGTGTAAAATGCTCTCGTGTCTAATGCGTTCCAGGCTACGCCCGTTTCTTCAACGAGGAGACGACGGATTGCAACAACAGACACATTAGCTTCTGGGGCTTACTCGAGCCTAACAAGCAGTATCTCACTGTGGAGCGCAGAAAGGCACTCAACAAGCTCGTCAGCGACATGAACGAGGTCGTCAAGGCGGCAGCCGAGAAAGTCTCGAGGGAATCGGAATTCGGACAGGTTGTCTTTGTCCCGATCGACGAGCTTTTTGAGGGCCACAGGTTTTGCGAGCCCGACGTCAAGGAACCCGACAACAAGAACCCCAACTCGTGGTTTTTCTTGCTGCAAGGACGGGATGCCGCTCCCGACGGCTCGCTTCTACCCCCATCATACCCCGACGAGCCTGTCAACCTGACGCCCTCCGAGTGTGAGGCCCTTCTCAACGGGACTACGCCGCCACTGGGCGACGGCTGGGGCGAGTTCATGTTGTGCTCGGCGCAGCAGGGCACCGCCGAGGGCAAGCAGCTCGCCGACTGGATCACCGACGACACAGACGGCAACCTCTCGGGCGGCATTAACATTCCCGAGGCCTGGGGCAAGGCCTTCCACCCCAAGAGCATCGGCCACGCCCGGATCAGGCAGGCCATCATTAATCGACTAAACAGTCGCGGGGCAAACCACAAGCGCGTCGTCATCATGCACGACGGGACATTGGAAGAATTCGAGGCCATGATCAACCACCCGCTCAATTCCAGGCTCGACGCCCAGCGGATTGAACAACCGGGAATCAATATCAGGGGCTACGCGGTGTGGATCGAGGCAGACGCAGCGCGCAAGATCAGGGACACTGTTACTGGCGTCGTGGGGGTACTCTTTGAGCGGGCCGATGAGTTGCCGCCTGCATGGCCGGTTGTTCCTTGGACCACCCAGGACGCTGCAGGGGTCGCCAATGCCACTGAGAGGCGAGACGGCACCCTGCAGAAGCGGATTCCCTCGCCCGCCACGACCACGGATTTGGACTTCGAGCGTCACCTGTACCCACTGGGAGACAATGTCGACATATGGCACCTAGGCGTCTTATCCCAGCCGCCTGCTCTGCCGGACCTGCGCCTTCTCGACTTTCGCCGCGGATATCTCCATGATCCAAAAGGCGGCAGCGGCGTCAACATTTACGTCTTGGACTCGGGGGCTAATCTCGACCATCACGAGATCTCGAGCAGACTCCGAACGGACGGACTGCCGTCCTACGTCACAAGGGCAAGCAAGCTTGGGGTAATTGATGACGCCAGCGGTAGGAAGTCGCAAGTATCTGAAGATTCTGGACGGATACTAATCTTCTTGTTAGGTCACGGCACATGCATGGCCAGCCTCATTGGCGGCAAGAAATATGGAGTCACCAAGACGGGAAACAACATTATACCCGTCCGGTGGGAACTGGGTTCGCAAACCGGATCCCCAAAAGGCGCTTCTCTGTTCGAAGGCTTGCTCTGGATCCTATTCGATGTCAAACAACACAACAAGCAGGGCAAGGCCGTTCTCAACTACTCAGGGGGTGAGTTTACTACGTACCTTACCTAGCTTCGCGCACCCCCCACAAGACAACAGACTGACGAGATGCCCTTGAGATAGGCACGCCGATAGCGAGTTGGGCCGACGAAGACGACTTGGACAACGCCGACCCACCAGATTCGCCAATATACCTGAAATACGACCCGTGGCGCTGGTTCCTGCCGTACTTCAAGCGTGAGGACGTCGTCGTAGTGTGTGCCGCGGGCAACACTGCCTCGGCCCCTGAGGACTGGTGGGTCGAGTTTCCGCGGCGGCACGCCCACCAAGGCTTCATTGGCGAGGACAGTCTGATTGTGGTCGGTGGAACCAATCCGGAGGGCAAGATCTGGAGGGAGGAACGCGGAGGAGGCACCAACAGATACTTCTCGCTCATCACGGCCTATGCTCCCGGCTCCGACATGACGTGCGCTCGTCACGGCTCAGATCTCGATGCGATACAGCGGCAGAAAGGCACTTCCTTGTCTACAGCCATTGTCTCGGGCGTGATCGCCACGTTCCTAGACCGCGCCGATCTCCAGGCTGAGCTGCAAGTCCCCGGAAGCGTGGCAGTTCGGGTCAAGTCGTTCGTCAAGGAGGCCGCGCAGTACCACACCGACCAGGCGCTCATCGATCCCGAAGCCGGAACTCCTCTCAACGTGTTGGGCACCCACAATTATGTTCCCTGCGATACGCCGTCGACCCCGCCTCCGGGGGGCCAGTTCCCTAGCACGGGGAATACTTTCCCGGTGCGACGGGGGGATGTCTTCTACAACCCGGGTGTAAGTAGAATCTCTATCTCCTTCCTGCCAGCTGCCTGACCTTCCTACTGACCCCAAATCCAGGCCATAGCTACCTGCATCGGCGGCGATACCAACCCCGCCGGCGGCATCGTCGGCGATGTGCCGGGCTGGAAATACACCGGGTGCTACGTCGACGCTGACTCGCGGACTCTGAACGGCGCCACCACCTCCGCCAACGACATGACGCCCACCCAATGCGCCGCTTTTTGCGACGTAAGGGGCTTGACTGTTTTTGGAGTCGAGAACGGCAATGAGTGCTGGTGCGACAGTACTTCGCCTGACTCGACCCTCGAGGCGGCCGAGGGAGACTGCACCGCGCTCTGCACAGGCGACGACACGCTGCTGTGCGGTGGATTCTGGCGGTTGACGGTGTACAAGAAGCGGGAGCTCGAGGTTCAGCAGGTCGAGGGCTGGGAGTACTCGAACTGCTATGTCGACGCCGACGCTCGGCTCTTGCCTGTTGGAAAGGGGGCTAGCGCGCAAATGACCCCCCTGATGTGCGCCCAGCAGTGCTGCGGGTACCGGCTTTTTGGTGTTGAGAATGGCGAGGAATGTTGGTGCGGTGACAGCCTCGACACGAGCAAGCAAACACGCGCTGGGGAATGCTCTACGCCATGCACAGGCGACGGCGATGTTCAGTGCGGTGGAAATTGGCGCATCAACGTGTATGCGGACCTGCCCGGGGATGCGCCTGGGTGTACTGCGACGGGATCCATCTCGATGTCAACGACGCTTTCCACCTCGACCGTCTCGTGCACGTCATGCCCGTGTGCTGGTGGTGGCCTGGAAAAGCGAGCGTGTACGGCGACCGCGTCTGCCTCGACGTCGATAACGCGGTCTAGCTCTGCCATCTCGACATTTCCGCAAGGTCCGACCTCCACAACAACAACAGCCATGCCTCCATCCACAGTCACGACTTCCACCACCCGGCAGACCACCCTGACAACAACAACAGTGCCTCCCCAGCCTCCGACAACTACCACATCCCGGACAACAACCTCCAGCACACCGCCAAGCTGCCCCGCCTCCATCGCCTGCGACGCAGACAACTGTGCCGGCACCTTTGACCAGGGCGGCGTCCGAGCAACCTGCAAGGGGTCTTTCCCCGGGTGCGTCTGCCGCCCGACGGCTTCGACCTGCGGCAACCCGGCCTCGTGCGACGCGGGCGGGTGCGCGGGCAGCTTTGACGGCAACGGCCAGGCCACCTGCAAGGGCAATTACGCCACGTGCCGGTGTCTGCCGCAGGGGACGCAGTGCGGGACGCCATTATCTTGTAACCTCAACGGCTGCGCCGGGACGTTTGACGCCAATGGGCAGGCTACCTGCAAGGGTAACTTTGCCGGATGCAGGTGCTTGCCTCAGAGTGAGCAATGTGGGACGCCCTTGTCGTGCAACCTCAACGGCTGTGCTGGATCGTTTGATTCCAACGGGCAGGCTACTTGCAAGGGCAACTTCGCTGGGTGTAGGTGCGTGCCACAATCGGAGCAGTGTGGCACGCCCTTGTCTTGCAACCTGAACGGCTGTGCGGGTACCTTCGATTCGAATGGACAAGCCACCTGCAAGGGAAACTTCGCGGGATGCAGGTGCTTACCTCAAAGTGAGCAATGTGGCGCGCCGCTGTCATGCAACTTGAATGGTTGCGCCGGGACATTCGATTCGAACGGGCAGGCAACTTGCAAAGGCAACTTTGCTGGTTGTCGCTGCCTACCACAGTCGGAGCAGTGTGGTACTCCGGTCTCTTGTAACTTGAACGGTTGCGCGGGCACCTTCGACTCCAACGGCCAGGCTACCTGCAAGGGCAACTTCGCCGGGTGTAGGTGTCTGCCACAGAGCGAGCAGTGTGGCACACCGCTGTCGTGTAACCTAAACGGCTGTGCCGGCACCTTCAACTCGGACGGAGTAGCCACTTGCAAGGGCAACTTTGCCGGCTGCAGATGTCTGCCACAGGCGGAACAGTGCGGTAACCAGGCCAGCTGTGATGCCGGCGGTTGCGCGGGAACTTTTGACGCGGATGGGTTTGCTACTTGCAAGGGGCGATATGCCACCTGCCGATGCAATCCAACGACAAACACATGTGGGAACCCTCTATCGTGCGACCTCAACGGCTGCGCCGGCACATTCAACTCCGACACGGGCAGGGCGACGTGCAAGGGGCGCTTCGCGACCTGTCCCTGCATTGCCACGACGGTGAGTCCAAGAAACTCATCTCCCCTGCCCCTGAATCCTTGACTCGGGGGTTTTAAGAACTTCAACTGACCAGCATCTGTGAACAGGCCATGTGCGGCGCCCGGCAGAGCTGCGACGGCAACAACTGCGCCGGCCGCTTCACGGGCAACGATCCTTACGGCCACTGCACCAACTGGTGGCAGCCCTGCGAGTGCAACGCCACACCCAACACATGCGGCGAGAGGCGAAGCTGCGACCTGAACGGGTGCAACGGCAGTTTCGACATCAACTCGCTCCAACCCTACTGCCGGGGCAATTTCCGAGGCTGTGCCTGTCTGCCGACAGACGTAAGAACTCTGCTCTCTGCCTTGGCTGATAAGCATGATGGATAGATGCTGATGGCTGTGTTGTGGGTGTAGAGAACGTGCGGCACCCGCCAGCAATGCTCGACCAACGGGTGTGCGGGGACTCGAGACAGCGACGGCGTCTGGCGATGCAAGCAAAACTATGGCGGCTGTAGGTGCTTCGTCAACAAGTTCTGGGCCCACGGAGGGGGCCCGCTCGGTATCACCGCCATCCCCAACCTGTCCATGTATGGCAACGACAATGAGTGCAGTACGTTTTCCTCTTTCTTTTGCTGGTCTCCCTCCCCCTGTTGACACTGCCAATCAGCCAACGTTCCCTCGGACTGGAACGACCGCATCTATCAGATCGGCCTCCAAGACAACTACAATTGCCAGTTCTTCCAAGATATCAACTGCGCAGGAGGTTCCGTCTTCTACAACGCAAGGGGGGTGCACAACCTCCCTGGCAACTTGGGTGGGCAGGTCAGCTCCTTCAAGTGCTGGCGTAGCGATGGGAACAACAACTCGCCGTCGGCGAACGGATGAGCATGAGCTCTGAGTCAGCTCGCTGGTCGCCTTCACCTGTATGGGTAGGTTTGTTTTGTTTTATCATGTCTGTGGCTATTTGTACGTCAACCATAGTCCACCTAGCTTCGCAATTCCACCGGCGTTCTCATTGTCCCAGTAATTCCCAACTGGAAAAGTCGAATCTCGAATTTCGTGATGTGTCCCCCAGTTTCTTGTCAAATTAAGCCCGGCATGGCTATCATAACGTTGCCCTCCCCTTACTCCTCCGTGCTGAGCTGGCTCGAACTCCACTCAAGCGGCGGTAATCCATCTCTCCTTGGTTGCTCACACTAAACTTGCTAAATGTGAATCTCTGGTCTCTCGCGAAAGCCGTTTATATCCAGTGCGACTTCTGAATGCCGCAGCTCTATGGAGCTGCCACGTGTTCACTGGCGCAGCGATTCCGCCACCAGCAAGAGTAGCCGCCTGGTCCAACTCCCGCATTGACAGATCGGTGTCAGGCAGCTCCTTGATGAGTGGAAATAACCCTAGATAAAGAAACAACAGCGCAGGAACCCCTATGGCCACTGAAGCTGCGATGAGCGATGTGTGAGGCGTATCACCCAGTGGCAGAGAAGGACTTAGTCTTGTTGCTTTCTGCCGCCTTGAGCCGCAGTGGCGGAACAGCAGTACGACGCGGCTGAGGTGATCAAGCGCAGCAAGTGGGTAATAACAACCGCTCCGAATGATGATCGACACGGATAGCCCTAGAAACAAGGCTCCCAGACCAAGACAGAGATTGAAAGTCCCTGCTCTGAGAAAAATATCAATGCAAAAGAGCAGCCATACCCGCGCCGGATGGAGCGGACTACCGAAGGTAAAGAAACTGAGACACAAGGCCCCCAAGCACCAGAGGTATCCCGTGACGAGAACGCAGACCATAGCCCACCATCGGTCTGGAAGCTTGCGGTTCCTCCCGAGTTTAATTCCAACACCTAAACAAAGGAGGCAAAAACGAGTAACATTGCGCCAGTTGTTACAAAAAGCCTCACAACACTTCGGCTCGCTAGGATTGACAGCACGCGTTGCAGGTCGTCCACGCTAGCCGTCCTGACGTCCATGGTCGGCGCGGTCTCGTCGCCGCGAGGCTCCATACTAGCCCAGATCAGAGAAGTGTCGCCCCGCAGGCATATGGCGACCGAGTATAGCGTGTCTCTCCTTCCTGGCTCCAAAGACAGTTGCTGGATGATCAATGGCCGGCGGCCACGGCCGGGTACGCGATCACGGCCAAGAAGTCGCCTGAGGACAAGTCCCTAGCGCGAGAGGGTTGCTGGGATGGAAAATAGGTCATGAGGGCGTAGCGGATGATGATTGACGAGCTGAGAATAAGTCAACCTGTGCAATGGCCGGGCCCGTAGAAGGATGATGTCGCCGCGTACGCCTGCGGGTGGAACCATGTGGTGTGCTTGTCAGGGCAGGTGAAGATTTGGCCGGGTTCAGACGACACAGCTCCCATTTTACTGGAAGAGTGAGTGAGCACCCGGGTAGCTGACGGATCTCGGGTAGCGAATGGAGGATGTAATCAGTGCGCTTGGCCCAAAGCTGGATTGAGTGAAAGATGTTAGGTAACTGAGAGCTTGGAAACCTGGAATGATATGGGCAGACGAAGCTTCGATATCGCCGAAGAGTCCGCCGCTGCTTGGCGTCGGCGCAGCAGAGCAATCCCTCTTTGGTTTGTTCGTTAGCGTGGCACATGACGGGTGCCTAGAGGTAAGTGGAAAAGGAAATCAAAGGAGAGTAAGAAGGAAGATTAGGAGGAAGATATAGAAGACGAAGATACAAAATAACAAGAAAAGCTACTGGCGCCCTAGTCGCGATCCATCATGTGCAGCGCTCATCACAATCCAATCAAGTCAATTTTCACAGCGAAACTTGAGTTATTTGAATATCCTGAAGACCATAATTGAATCGATTGAGTCGATTGCGACTTGATTGACATACTTGAGATGATTGCGATGCCTGCCAGCAGCTCTACCGCTTGTAGCCTCCCTGTAATTGGCGCCTGTTATGTCGCCCGCGCTGACAGCCGTTATAGATCGGCGCCATCACTGGCAGACGTTGCTGGCGTGAAATAAATGCCCCCAAGGGTGATTGCATCACGGCGAAGCCAGTTCTTCAAACATTGAAGCATCTCGAGGGTCTTTGGATCCATTGCGAGTCTCTGGCGCTCGTCCTCGATAAAACAACGTCCTCGCCATCTAGCGATCGGGAAGCCGTCGAAGCGGTCAGCATCGCTTGAGTAACATGACTCCGACAGCTGCGCGATGATGGAGGCCGGAGGACGCCCGCCAAATACAGTGAGGGCCATAGAGGTCTAGGCAATCGAACTGGATGGATGAAGGGTTTCCGACCGTAGAACCGAGGCTGGGGAATGCATAAGAGGATGGGCTGTCGTCGCGTCGGAGTCGCGTAACCCGTCCCCCTGTCTCGAGGCACTCGACACGACTGCCAAATAACGTGATCTTATTGGTTAAAGGTCGCGTGAGCAGTCACGTGTGTATAAGTCAATCAATCAATCAGGGAGTCAACTTTCCACCCTCTCGAACTTGCTTGCTTGAGCCCTCGAGAGGCCCGTAATTGCTTGGTTGATTGGTTAAATTGATTGACATGATTGAATTGTGATGAGCGCTGATCATGTGCTCGAGTCCTCTGATTTGGCTACTCGGCCCGGGCATCGGAGCCCTCCAAGCGTACAGCCAACTGCAACCAACGGTCTAAATGTTTCTGCTGTTAAAACAAAAATACCATGCCCGTGGCTTGTAGGTATGGAGTTTTGAATGCATAGGCATCTGAATCCCTTGATGCGCGGAAATACGATGAGGACGTTGCTTCGTATATGGGCCAGGGGAGGGGAGGGGGAGCGGCGCGACCCTAAGCCGAGAGCGAAGACAGCATTTGTCTCCACAGACGGCCCCTCCACTGCACCACGGCCGTGGGTATCATCGACACCACAACCAGCATGGCCGTCGCGATCCCAGCCGACGCTCCAAACCCGGCCTGCTTGATCATCTCGGGGAACCAAAACGGCCCAATGAAGCCCCACGTCTGCCTCACAAAGTTTATGAAGACGCCCACCCCGGCCGCGTCCTCGCGGTAGCAGTCGACAGCGTACGTCGTCATGACGGTCGTGACAATCTGGTTCCCGGCTGCCGCGATGCCCATGCCCACGTCAGGGGTCACATTCCACGTATGTCCGGCACGGTCGAGCTGGATGAAATACACGACTACACCGCAGATGGTGAGCAGATAGCCCGGGTAGCCGAGCCAAAGACGAAACTCTGGCTGCGGCGCAAGGGTGCTCCCGTCGTCGTCTTGGCTCTCGCTGTCGCTGCTATTTATGACCTTTCTATGCCGCCTCCACATCCACCAGTCGCTCGCATACCCGCCGATCTGCTCGCCGATCAGGGAGCCGATGATGATGCTGATGTTCTGCAGGCCGACCTGCTGGGAATCGAAGCCGAACTTCTCAGGGAACAGCTGGCCTGTCTCGACGGAAACCATGATGTTGGCCCACAGAAAAACCATGGCGTAGCCGGCTGCGGGGATGAAGACGCAGGGCCGGGCGACGAAGGTCAGGGGTTGGACAAAGTCTCCAAGCGTGAGAGGAGTCGGGTTGATACGGCCAAACGAGAGGAGGGACTGAGGAGTTGACTTGTGAGGTGCCGAAGTGGGAGAAAAGGCGGGCGTCGGGCCGCGGAGGTAGAGGGTCTCCCGGCCGAGGAGGAAGTAAAGAATGAACTGCACGCCGTTGGTCTAGGCGGCGTTAGCAGACGGACTCGACACCAACAACGCCAGGATGCACTCACAATGGCTAAGATCCAATAAATCCAGCGATACCCGACCCTCACAGCGACGAAGCCAAAGATGAACGGAGCCATGGGCACGCCCAGGGTCACCATCATAGTCCAGACGCCCATGTATCTGGCTCTCTCCTTCTTGAAGAAGGTCTCGGCCACGACAGCGCTCCCAATAGCCGACGCAGGCGAGATGAAGAAAGCCGTGATAGCCCTGCACAGCCCCATGGTGGCGTACGAGGGGCTGACGGCGCACCCGACGTTGCCCACCAGGCTGCAGATGAGCGAGAGCAAGAAGATGGGGCGGCGCCCGAACCGCTGGGCAAGCGGTCGCCAAAAGAGCGGCGCGCCCCCGAGGACGGCAATCTGTAGCGACAGCATGTAAGATGCCCGGTGGATCGAGACGTCGAGGTCAGCGGCAATCTCGGCGAAGACTGACTGCACTGCGGCGGCCGTGAAAGTGGCCATCATGGCGTGGAAGGCGATCATGGCGAGGTTCAGGATTTTCTGGCGCGTGGTGTCAGTAGATGCTAGAGCGGCTGAAGCTTCCTGGCGCGTCTGCCCACCTTGCTCTTTGGCCAGTTGTATGGATCACCGTCGCTCATGTCCGGCACGGGCTCGAGATCCAAGGTGCCATGGCGCTGCAGGAGGTACTGCCGGTGCTCCACGCTGAGCGCGTGCGTGTGCTCCGAGCCCTGGAACCGTCAGCCAAGCATTCACTTCTTCGATAACGGGTGGCTCACGCTGTACTCGACATTTTGAGTGTCTTCCTCCTTGGCCATGCTAGTGCCCGCTTCCGTCATGGGGATGACGCCGAAGAACTGGGGAGAGAGGAAGGGAAGGGAATCAGCGCGTCCTGTTTCCTTTTGACGACCCCAGACTGATCCTCATCTCCGCACTGCTCCCCAGACATTCCCCCATATCCATCGCTTTGGGGAGACCCTGCTGCTTCCCTGCCATGATCTGGAGGGTGCTTTGGCGTCTGGAGACGGGACGGGCGTACGTCGGAGGTCTCAACCGTTTAGGGTTTCAAGAAGGGCCGCCAGCCAAGCAGAAGCAAGCTTTTGCCAAGTGAGGCCGGTCAAGATATGCCGTGGTGGATCCCGTGGGGCCTTGGTTTCGGTGGTTGGGACAAAGATGGAGTGGGCGGCGTGGCAGGTGGCGACAAATAAGTCTACTGGCAAGAACCTACCAGGTACCCTCTACACAGTAGGTACCCTTCAAGCAAAACACGGATGAACGGCACTGGCCGGATCCTTGGACGCTTACAAATCTCGGCACCCTGACTCGGCTCTTCATTATGGGTTCTCGCCGCTCGCAACAGCTCTCTATTATCCAATGAAATCACTCAGGAATAACACTCTTCCTGCACGGGACAATCTACGAGGTCGGGAACCGCCTGATAATACCCGGCACATCCACTTGTGGGCTCCGGGTCTGGCCCAGGTTCGGCGTCCTGCTAATGGCGCGCCGGATCTCAGCGTCATCCTCCTCCTTCTCGTCCAGATCCATGCTTGGCAGCTTGACAGCGCGATCCAGCGCCACAGGAAGGTCGCGATGTCTCCCACGCAGCATCACCAAGATAAGGACGAGCTTGCTGCCGGCATGCCAGCCGCCGCTGAAGCTGTACGCGGCCGTCGGCAAGCCCACCGACACGCCGTTGTTGGCGTAGGCCGACACGATCTCGAACAGGATGTTGAACAGGCTGTAGGCGGCCGGGTTCTCAAGCGTGTGTGATGTTTCGATGATGGTGATGAGGAAGAAGGCCAGGGCAATCCACCACACGTCGTGCGACAGTTGGCTGCGCACATGGTGAGACATGAGGTCCTGACCCGGCGGTGCGTGGTCTCCAAGGGAGTGCAAACTGGCCGCTGTGCTGCTGCTGGCCGAAGTGTCCGGGCTGCCCTGGAGCATATTGGCCTTCTGGCGCCGCGGATGCACCGGGGCAATGCCCACGCCCTGGAAGCCAGTCATGCGCCGCTGGATCTGCCGGCCGAGCATGGCGGTCCCTTCTTTGCCAATGCCCACGATTTTGTCAATCCCGCCGCGCGAAGCTTGAGAGAGCCGGGACAGCCGGGACGCGTGCGACGCAACCGACATCGGCGTCAGGGGTGGCTGATTTCCGGATACCCCGGGGGTGAGGAAGAGCCCGCCAGCGGCAGGTAATTTCTGCTGCTTTTCGTCCCTCTCACCCTCGCCGGTCGGTTCTGGCTCGTCGCCAGCGTAGATGCCAAGAGAGCGCTCTTCGTACACATTGGATCCGCGAACCGTGATCGACGTTGGGTAGGCCGAGGCATACATCTTGACCAGCCACAGGACCTGCAGTCCAAAGTACACGGCCGAAATGGGTACCACAGCGAAGCCGCCAGAGAGGATGGCTGCGCCGTCAGCGATGAATTTGCATGAAGGAAGTGGCGAGCGCACTTACACACTGACTGGAAGAGACCGTCCATGACCCTCGGCCCGGGCGGGATGCTCTCGATGGCCGGATTACCGATGTTCAGCAGAAAGAACATGGCCCAGTCAACCAGCAGGAACGAGCCGAGCCAAAGGGTCAGCATCCAGGTCGGGCGAGCCGGGAACATGTTGATGTACACGCGGCGGGGATACTGCAGGATGAAGTCGAACGTCTCCTTCCACACGGCGTATCCCTCGTCCCTGGTCGAGAACTTCAGCAGCTTCGATAGCACCCAGATAATGAACCGCAAAAAGATGGGCGACGCCTGGCTGCCGACGAGGATGAGCAGCGTGGAGACGATCAGTACAAAGTAGTAACCCGACTGGAAGGCCGTCATGCCCGCGTCCAGCAGCGTCATGCCGCCGTTGTTGAAAGCCGATATGGCCAGGAAGAGACCCGCCCACCACGCGTTCTGCTGGTTGACGGCCGAGATTTCGGGCGCGTTGACGGCAAGCCACGCGCCGAGCGCGATGCCTCCCAGGAGCTGCCACAGGACAAGGTACATGGTCACTGTCACGACCAGCACCTCGACGGCCCGGTACTCGACGCCGCCGAGGTACTCTCGCTCTTTGAGCGTGAGGTTGAAGAACTCGCCGTTCCGGCCAACGTTTCTCCGCTTCTCTTCCAGAAAGTTCCGGATCTCGATGGTGCGGTCCCGGTCGGGGTCGGCCCGTTGGGGATCGGCGCTTGGCTTGAAATGAAGTTCCGGTTGCGACGGCTCGGCGAACGCCACGCTTCGGGCTCCGGGTGTCCTCGGCTGGAGAACTCCCTCCGCGATCGGGGCAAGGGCCGCCTCCACATCGCGCTCTCGGGTCGGTCTCTCCGGGTGGGAGGCAGTCGGTGATTTGGGAATTCGGCTGCCCAAGCCTGGGAGCTGGTTCGCGTCGTTGCTCTTTGACTTGGCCTTTGTCAGGGACTTGATGCGCGCCATGGTGAGGAGATCAGAGATTCCTGCGGTGAGCCCGATAGCAGAGCCCGACTTCAACTTCCTCTCCCGTTCGGCCCTGACGATAGCGCGGAACCGCTTCTCAAAGATGTGGCGTCGGAAGAGGACGGTCCAGAGCGAAATCAAGATGGGATGGCCGAGTATCATGGCGATGAACAGCACCACTTGCTGGCCGGTCGACATCTGGCTGACATTGACCGTGTTCATGCCCGTCGACGTGAGCGCCGACATGCACAGATACAGGCTGTCGAGGAAGCTGATCTGCAGGCTCGAGGGCGAGCCGCAGCCCCAGAACACGAGGGCAAAGAAGAGACAGGAGAGAATGAAGTAGGCATAATGGACGGTGATGAAGTTGATCGGGGGCAGGTAGGGCCGGATCTTGGCCACCGACTCGGCCAGGCGGCCCTCGGAATGGCGCTTACAGAAGTCGTCTAGCCACTTCATTGCGTACAAAAACAAAGGAGCAGTCAGACCGAGTCTTTGCGGGACATGGTTGAGAGCTGAGAACGGACTGCAGAGGGCGTCCATTCGACAAATACTTGGCCAGATCGCGCCGCGAAGACAGCACTTCTGGAAAGACGCACAGCAAGCCGAACCAACTGTCAAGCTCAGGAGCGATCCTCCGAGATAGGCAACCAGAAATGTATGTTACCTCAGGTGGGAGCCAACATGCGTGCTGAGGTGAAGACACTCGCTGTCGCAACCAACTGCCATCCAGGAGCTGCGCCACGTATGTACCTAGCATGTGGAATGCGATCTGGTAGGTAAGCTTACCTCTGCTGCGCCCGCACGTATTCTACTTTTGTTTGTTCGGGATTTGCGGCGCAGATGTTTCGTGACGCTGAAACAGCTCCGCCTTGGCTGACAGATGGATTCAAGACCGTTGTAGAATCTCGGGTGTTGCTTCCAGCCCTTAGCTTCTTAATTCGAGGTAGCTGATGTCAATGTAACCGTCGTTCCTTCACAGATCCAGCGAACCGTTCCTCTCCGCTGATAAACTGTTCTTGTCAGAGTTAGTGCTAGTAGGCGCCAACACACAGCGCCATGATTGATCCCTATTATACCAGCACGCCACACCTCACAGCGCCTCGCAGAAAACCGGGTTACAACAATGCGGAACTTCCAAGTCTCCCATCTGCATTTTACACGGCGAGAAGGGTCGTGGCAGTCCTCACGGCTAAACAGCGCGCAGCTGTCTGCCAGCAATTCGAAAATACTTCGCTTCCTAAGTGCCATTCGACTGACTCGTGGCGTACAGACCGTTTTGGCTGGCGTCTAGGACCACGTCGTGCCTTGCCGTAGGTGGTTGCACCCATGCTCGCTATTCCCTTATTCCGTGACGGACACGACCCTGCGGATGGATCGATTATTCTCTAGCTTAAGCTAAGTAACTCCTGACGGTTCGAACACTTGTTGCGGGTCGCGTATTTGCATGAAGTACACTGCGAGGTCTGACAATTGTTACATGAGTGGGGCACAGATGTCAGATGAGAATCACTGGCCATGTCCACAGTTACTTCCCAGGCACACAGTCACGGATGGACGAGCATCTTGAATCCGCCTGATGGCGTGCAAGGCCGCAATGACGACAGGAGCACAGACGGCGGCCCCGAACACCTTATCCCTGAGACACGCGTATCTTAGATGATGACACAGCAGGAACTAAAGATAGGGAGCTGAACATCCAAGGCCTGATCGCCCAATAAAACATTCAGATGAGCGCTAATCGACAGGCTCGGCGGAATCATACGGGACCGTGGCTTTGCCATTTGTACTCGACTAATTGGGCAGTCCGTAAACAATCCCGCCGTGGCTGGCACAGGGCGCTTACCTCAGGTAATTACCAAGGCAGCCCTCTTGTTGGGTTCGTTCTTCCTTAATTAATACCCAACAACGTCCCAACGCTGGGATGGGACAAGTACTGTCTAGGAGTAATCCCTCCTTTCCAGCAACCTCACAACCATAATCCGGGACTTGGCGGAACTGCTTCCCGCTCCCAACGGCTCAAGGCCCGCGTTCGATCACTCTGATCCCGCGTCCACAGTGGCTCCTCGTCTGGGAACAACGATGACCATGGCTCATCAGACAGCCAGAACCAGCTGGACGAAGACAGCGACGAGGCGTACGACGACGAAGGGGATTGGGAGGATGTTGACGATAACGATAATGATGACGACAAGGAAGATGAATTGAACGACGAGATGGTTTCTGTTTGGGATTAACAGGTGGTGGGTGGTGCCTCGCAGTTTTTTCCTTGGTACCTAAATTGGGGCAATGATGCGGCCTTCCATAGTTCCCTATATAGTTCCCACTTACCACCTGTAGCACAGCCTACCTACCTCATGGTGTCCCGCTAACAACAGTGACTGGGCCTGGTGTGCAGTCCTGCATTGTATAAACATTCAATGCTGACTTGAACCGCGTCATAGCACCCCCTCAAGTAATCATGCAGCATGAATAGTACCAAGGCTTGGGCCGTCCCTTCAACCTTTGTCGGCTGCGCTCCTAGATCAACCAAGATGACGTTAGGGATCACTCCCAAGGGCCGTGGTAGCCAGCCGACTGCCATCGCAGCGCCAAGTGCATGGGCAGAGCAGCAGGAACACCTCGATGACCTACCTTATATTGATCGTTGTATTACGTTTGCCAAGGTCCGCACCATGCAAGGCACCCGTCCACTTGACTTTCAGTCAGGCCTCGGAAGTGATCCACACGCGCGTGTGGCAAGACGAGCCGACGACGTTGAAGGATACATTCATACATGTAGCTGCTCTTGCGCTCCAAGCTTCGGAGCGCTGTCCTAGACCTCATGCTGCTCGTTCTTCATATCTTTCTTCATAAACTGTTAGTGATCAAGAAAATCTTGTTGTCTGCATAGCAATCGACCGACCTCCACGTGTTTGGCCTTCAGCAATGGCTGACTTTGTGTTGACCCGGGCCAAACCACCTATAACGGCGGCTCTTAAGAGCCACGATCATTCTCAAAACTTGGCCCAAGCCCCAATTTCAGCACTCTGTGACGTCCTTTCTCATTTGTGACGCAATGCACGGAAACAATGCTTTATGATGCTGTCGATGGCTTCAATACTTGATTTCATTGTGGCGAGAGGACAGGACGCAGCTGAGGCTCGCTTTATAAAAGCTGAAGTGATGTTCTTCGTTTTGGGATCCAAACTTCTGTCATCACAGCTTCCCAACCTGCTATACCACCACCGGCCTCATCGCTTGCTCCTTTCTCTCCTCATATTTTCGTCAAAATGAGAATCACCCCTGTTATCCTGCCAGCGGCCCTCTGGTCCACTCTTGCGCTGGCCCTGCCGGCGCAGCCTGAAGGACGCCAGGCATACGTGCCCTGCTCCGGCCTCTACGGCACTGCTCAGTGTTGCGCGACCGACGTCCTTGGTCTTGCGGACCTCGACTGTGGCGGCCGTAAGTCAAAGAAAACCAGTCACCTTCGTTGCGCTCCATGATGCTGATGATGTGTTATGGCCTCCAGCCGTGACTACGCCTGCCAACGCAACCGACTTCAGCGCCATCTGCTCCGCCATTGGCCAGCGCGCTCGCTGTTGTGTGCTCCCTGTTGTGAGTGTCACTTCACTCCCTAACGCAAGTCAGGGTTCTAATGCGTTGTAGTTGGACCAGGGCATTCTCTGTCAAACCCCGGCTGGTGTCGACGACTAAGTGGGCTAGCCCTATAAGTTAATTAAGAGCAAGGCAATTCTAGGAAGATGTAATACCATGAAGACATATAGCTGTGGACAACTGGTTTTCTGGGCTCGGTTTGGGTTGCTCATCTCACATTCCTTTTTTGGTGGTGGGCATGGACGTTGGACTTAATTTGGAAGTAATCATGGACGCAGATGTGATTACATTAATAATATAGACAAGAATAGAGTTCGCCAAGAATCACTTTAGACTCATGCCTCGCTGTTCGCTTAGGCGGTCCACAGAGTGGCGCGCTTCTTGCCCTTGCCCTTGCCGTTGCTAGTCTTGTTGGTCAGGGCCTCGACAACACCGTCGTAGGCGGGGTGCTTGGTGAAGTCCTCAAACCACAGCGTAGCAGCACCCTCGCTGGGGAAGACGTAAGGGACCCAGCTGAAGGGGTCATAGAAGTCCCAGAGGGTGACACCGACGCAGCCGTCGACCTGAACGCAAGCGCCAACAGCCTGTGAACTGTCAGTTACGAGCCACATCACGCGCGCTGATCGAACAAAGACTTACGTTCTTGTAGGCCTCCTTCTGAAGGGCCAGGTTCTCGGCAGTGGCGGGGAGAGTGAGGCGGATGTCGAGCTCAGTAAGAGCGACCTCGACGCCGAGGTCCGTGAAGCCCTTGATGGCATCGATGTGCTGGTCGAGCGTGGGGTGGCCCTCAGCAACCAGATGGGCCTGCAGACCGACGCCGTCGATCTTGATGCCCTCGGCCTGCAGCATCTTGACGATGCGCTGGGCGCCGGCGGTCTTGCCGCTGGGCGACTCGAGGTTGTAGTCGTTGTAGTACAGCTTGGCCTGGGGGTCGACGGCGGCGGCCGTCTTGAAGGCCAGCTTGATGTACTCCTCGCCGAGGACCTTGTAGAAGACGGACTGGCGGTAGGTGCCGTCCTCGTTCAGAGCCTCGTTGACGACGTCCCAGGCGTAGCACTGGCCCTTCCAGTGGCCGGCGACGTTGGTGATGTGGTCGACAATAACCTTGCGGAGCTCGTCGGCGGTCCAGGTGGTGCTCTCGACCCAGGGAGCGAGCTGGCTGTGCCAGACGAGGGCGTGGCAGCGGAGGTACATGCCGTGCTTCTTGGCCAGCGACGTCACAATCTCGCCCTCGGTGTAGTTGAAGACGCCACGGGTGGGCTCAGCGAACAGCCACTGTACGATACTTGGTCAGTAAGGGAGCGGGAAGATGGAATGTTGGGAGGACTACCTTCTGGCCGTTGGTGGGCGTGGTCTGGCCGAACTCGCCCGACTCCCACATGATCTGGTCATACTGGGGATAGACCTCCTCGTAGCCGGCACGCTCGCGCTGGCCAGGGGAGTCGGTGGCCGCGCCAAAGTACTTGAGGCCGGCCTTCTTGGCGAGCACGTCGAGGCCCTTGCAGTTCTTGCCGTTGCCTTTGCCCTTGCCAGCGGCCATGCCCAGGGGCAGGGACGCGGCGAGGAGGAGGAGCGAGGATGGGAGATGCATCTTGCCGGTGTTGAGTGCAGGTCTGTGAGATGGACGAGTGCCTGGTAGGAGCAAAACGAAGAGGGTAGGAGTGGCTGCTATTTATCGTCCGCAGGGGCAACACGTCACGACCGGACCGCAATCCTATTCTCCAGGGATCTCCACCGCGGCCTACCCAGATGGTGTTGGCGATGCTACCTGGCCATGGCGGGATGCGACTCCGCTCCATAATCCGGGGAGCTTGCGCCCCACGCTCAAAGTAGCGTTACCCGATGGAGACGTTTGCGGCGGGCCAGAGACCGGGTTTCTGGCGTTCGGTGTGCGGCGGTTCACCACTGGGCTTCAGGCAGTTGGTGCGTGGGTCCCGCCTGTTGGGGTCCTGAAGAGTTGTACTGCAGGCAGCTCATTTCGGCCACGCGGGAACTAATGATCCTATTCAGCCGGTACTGGTAGTCGCTGGCCAAGCCTTCTACACTGACTTCCAGAGCTTCCAGGCGCCAATACCGGGTAAAATGGGGATTGCATTCTGCCGAGTGGAGCGTAACTTGGCGAGGATGGCGTGTGGTTGTCGGCGATGATGAGAGGCGCGTGTAGCCGCCTGCAGATGATGTTGCTTCGTTCAGTGGCCGCGTGGTACTGTCCGCTGCAGGAACAGTTCTGTCGAGCGAGGCGAGCGTCCCGGTTCAGCTTTGCAGATGCATCCTGAACCCTCGAGACTGGCCAATTATCGAGGCACGATGCCAAACACCACCTCATGAACCCTTGGCAAGCGGGGGATGCGGAGAAGGCCCACAGGGAGTTGGGGAACAAGCAGCGGTTCTCAGGCTAGAAGCCGAACCGAAGAATTCTGCCTGTGGCGCGGGGGCGACGAACTGCTTGCGGAGGTGCACGTGTAATAATTGACGTTGCCGACTGCTGATTGGCGGGTACCTTGTGGAAGCAATCGATGCGCTTGGCGTATACCGGATCGGAATCAAGATCCTCCGAATCGATAAGTTAGATTAGATAAGTTGTCCATGACATCATCGCAAGCAGGCGAGCCGAGCCTCCGGGCTATGTGATGCAAACACCAGACCGGAATTGTGCGTCATGGCTTCACATGCCAACTTCGTTGGTGTTACAGGCTTGGAAGCGCCTTTTCTGCCCTCAATATAAGAAGAGTTTTCTCTGCGATACTTTCTACCCATCAAGCAATTAAAATAACCAAATTGCATAACCTTTCAAGCCCAAGCCTTACCCTTTGTCTTTGCAAGTCACCTCGCTGAACGACACCTCACCATGTTTACGCCCAGATTCCCAGCACGTGCAATTTCCACTGCCCGCAATGCCCGTCTTCTCCGCGCCACGCGGGAAGCACGCCGCTTCCAGTCCACGCGGGCCGGCCCGACAAGCTCATCGCATTTCGCAGCAGGCGTGGCCGGCGGCGTTGCAGGCGCGGGCCTACTCTATGGCATCTACCTGATGACCCCTACCGGCAAGATGACGCGCAAGATTAATGCGGTAGCCATCGAAACCAACAAGAAGTACCAGCAGGTCGCCGCCACAATACAAGACAAGACCCCGACAACGGACGAAGCCATCGACAAGCTCAAGCAGTTCTGCTACTCGTACGTGGCCTGGGTCCCCGGTGGACGGCAGTACGTCGACACGGCTTTCAACGACCTCGCCGCCATCCGCGAGAGCCATGGTGAGGAGGTGGACCGCATCGTCAGCGAGACGTACCGCGAGTTCCAGGACATCGCGCGCACCGGCCTCAGCCTCGAGTCGGCATCCAAGGCCTACGACGCGCTGGCAAACCTGGCCAAGAAGTTGGCCAGCCTCAGCGGCAGCGCCGCCGATCAAATCCTCGAGCGCCACCCGCAGCTGAACGACAAGGTGGGGGAGCCGATAAAGCAGCTTAAGCAGTATGGGCAGCAGTTCGGGCCTGAGGCGAAGAAACTGGCCGACGAAACATGGGCTCAAATCGGTGATGTCATGGCCAGCGGGTTCTCCGCCGAGAGCGTGGACAAGGTGCGCAAGATTGTGGAGGAGCGGACACAGCAGATCCGCAAGATTGGGGATGACTTATGGGAGAAGGGCCTGAAGCAGGCGAAGCCGTATCTGGACAAGAACCCCAAGCTGAGAGAGCTGGTAACGAAGAACAGTGACATTCTCAAGCAAGGGAACATGACCGACTTGTTCAAGCAGATCAAGAGCTTGGGCGAGGGCGGCGACATGAGCAAGCTGGAGGAGTACGTCAAGCAAACGGTCGACAAGGCCAAGTCGACGGGGTCCAAAGCGGCCGGTTCCGGGTCAATGGGTGGAAGCAGCTTTGCGGTATTGGGACAGTTCTTGGGGACGGAGTCAGACGACCTTGAGAAGTTGACCGACGCCGTGAGCAAACACTCGGGCGAGGCCCAAGAGCTGCTCGAGGAGACCAAGGAGGATTTGAGGAAGCTGTTGGCCGAGAAGGCCAAGAAGGCACAACAGTTCGCCGAGAAGACAAAGAAGGAATGAGCCAGCGGTCGCAGTTTGTAGAATAATGTACTATAATATTTTTTTTTTGGCATCTGTAGCTCTTTTGCTTTGTTACCGTCTGTGCCGGTGCCCCGCACCGGCTCTTGACGATGGATGCGGCCCCACATGCTCCGTGCCCCACTTCTAGCCCCGCGCTCGATTCATCAATGATCAGGGCAACCGCGTCAGGCACCATGACGACAGGTTACCTACGCTTGCGGCTCTCGAGCCTTTTCGCTTCATTGTCAGAAGATACACGCGCAGAGTGCCTTTCCATACCAACTCTCAGCCTGAAATCTATACTTTAGCGCCCCGGCTAAGTCTGTACTCTGTCAAGTCCCGGACCACAATTCCTTGCTGTCCTTGACTCCTCTATCGATTCCTCAGTCCCGAGTATCCACACCAAAAAATGAGCCAGCGACATCTGGACGTCGATTTGCCCCACCTGCTTAGCGTCGGCGACACCGAACGGTACCTCAAAGCCGCCCTCGAGGACATCGTCACAAATTATCCGCCGCGCAGCAGATACCCGCCCGAGACACTCCACGGACTATGGAGCGGCCCAACCGGCGTGGCATACCTGCTGCTGCAAGTATCGGCACGCCGACCTGAGCTGATCATCAAGGGCCAGTCTGCCGAGCACTGGGCCCGCGCGTACATTGCGCCCGGCTCTCGCGGCCACAACCTCCGTCTGGGATCTCACGGATGTGGCACCGGCGATGAGAAGCTGGCGTACGAAGCGGTGCGCTGCGCCGTGTCCAGGGACCTCAGCGACGTCCCCCAGTTCATGTCGTCCGTGTCGCAGATCATGGCCGTCGAGGACTACCCGGACGAGATGCTCTACGGCCGCGCTGGCACGCTGTATCTACTTCGCATGGTCCGGCACTGGGTGCCCGGAAGTAACGACCTGGTCGACCCAGCCATTTCCGAGATTTCAAACACCATCATGAACCGGGGACCGCGGTGGAGGTGGCATGGAAAACGCTATCTGGGCGCGGTTCATGGCGATATTGGGATTGTCACACAGCTGGTGCTCACCTCGCCGGAACTGGCGTCGCGGCTGCAGCCCATCGTGGAGAAGTTGTTAGGGGTGCAGCTTGAAGATGGCAATTGGCCTAGCTCGGAGGAGAGTGGCCCAAGCGGAAAGGGGCTGGTACAGTTTTGCCACGGTGCTACCGGCTTTGTGCTGTCGCTCTCGGCGCTGCGCCCTCACTTCCCAGGTTTGCATGCCGAGTTCAATGCCGCGGTCAAGAAGGGTAGGGAATGCATTTGGAGCCAGGGGCTGCTCAAAAAGGAGCCGTGTCTGTGCCATGGGATCTTTGGGAATGCCTTGTACGCCGTGGGCCCTGTGGTTTTGTGTCTACCAGAGATACTGACAAAATGGCAGGGCACTGGCCTCTGGCCCACAACGAGATCACTTCCTCGCCGTTGCCACGCCGGAAAACGTTGCGCGCATGAAGAGCTCGGATCCTACGGTGTTTGAGCGGGCGGATTATGGTCGTTCGTACTCGTCAACGTCGAGTTATGCACCCTCTGCCGTCTGGACTTGGCTGGTGCGACAGGAGGAAGAGCCCAAGATGCTGGGATACAGCGATGTCTGACCGGGAACTTATACCAGTGCTGCGTCCGCTTGTTTCAATAGACGCACAGGGTAGGTTTTGAGGGCCTCCTCTGCTTACCTGGTCCTATGGAGGCGTCTCCGTCCCCATTAAGGGCCGCCAATCATGTTGTCAAACCCATCTTACTTCCATACTCAACGTCCAAGTCGCTGCCCATGCTGGCTGTCTAGATTTTTTTTGTTCCTGTCAATCTTGATTGTTTGTCCTGAAGGGTTTCCAAAGTGGGACTGAACGATTTTGCAAGTGCTGTACCCTAAGAGCGAATGAACTGGGCAGAATTCATCCAGAATCGAGGCAGAGCTGAGTTGATCATTTCAAGAAAAAGCGCCGATTCCAGTGCTCGAGCCATCGAACAAAAAAGGCAGAACATTACCTGCAAGGACACCATCGAACACCAACAACATCGGCAACTGAGTGCCTTGGCCACAGCCAACACGTCCCTAACAACAACAGCGGCACAACTATTCAGGAGGCTCAGGAATGCACCTGGTAGTTTGCAAGTCATCTCGGTAAGTGACTTTTCAGGCGGTTTCGACTCAGAAAAGACTATTCGACTTACAATAGAAACCTGGTGTTCAGAAACCCTCTCACCAGCCACTTCCTCCATCTACACTAGGTAGAGACGTCGGCCGTCGCGGGAAGCAGATCAGCCAAGTGACCGTCAGAATTTGTGATAATCGATCGAAGCACGACCAGACAGACAGCATGAACGACAACATCCGACAAACTGCTAGCCATCTCCCAATCGTCGACGGAGCCAACGTCCGTGTCCGCGGATGGGCCGAGCTCCAGCGGAGGTTGGGTCAGGATACCGGACAGGACTAAGTGCCGGCCCAGCATGCGATGGAACCTAACAACATGAACTTGGACGACTTGAATCCCCCTGAGCTTATGGTCTACGACGTCATCGATCCTAGCAGAGATTTCATGGTCACTGTCTTCATTCCCGACGGATTTGACAACGTCCTGGTCATGAAAGGACCTGCGGCCATTATCGACGACACCATGAAGATCATGATGCTCTATATACGATGCGTGGGGGCCGCAATGGTCGAACGTGGGCGGTTCGATTTCCGATTCCCGGCCCAGGGGATCGGTGGTGGGTACTGCTGGGCTCAACTCCAGCTGTAACGGAGCAAGGTTGACGGGACGAGGTACCTGCCATCGGGTCTGGTTGCTTGTAATAACAGGGAGGATGTTGGAGGCAGTCTGAGGCAGTTGGAGGCAGGCATTAGATCTGTCCCGGTGCAGTGGACATAGATGCATGTGCTACAGGGTGTCTAAAGTCAATCGGGTTGTCTTAGCCCGAGCACGACGATCAATGGGCTGGTTTAACCCGAATGGCTAGCCCGGTTCAACCGGTGACATCGAGCAGAGCAGGAGGCCACAGGGCAGATGCAATTTGGTCAATTTGGACGGAATAGCTTCTATCCATGGGAAAATCAGCGAATTCACGGTGTATCAATTTTCCAGTCCGGAGAAGAGAGTAGCTCGGAGGTTCTATATCCGCCGGACATAAATACGGCAGAAAGACCTCCGTTCTTTTCGGGCAGATGATGTCCGTAGACTTTGGCATTAACTGAGACATAAGAAGCGCGTTTGAGCCTGCACAATGAGCCTAGAACTCTTCCAAGACGGGAGCTTCTGACGGCAGCGCTGAGCGAGCGAGCGACAGGGCGCAAGTTGACACAAAATGAAGCTCTTTTCGGTCCTCGTCCTATCCGCGTGGGCAGCCATCGTATCCAGCGCCATCACCGCCAGCGAATCTAGCAGCGCCATAAGTGTTGGAAATGACCGCCTCAAATTCTCCGTGAACAAAGGCACCGGCACGATTGATCGACTTAGTCTCGACGGGCAAGATCTTCTGGGTTCCGGCGGTAGGCTCTACCTCGACTGTCACTGCGACAGCGGATTCTGGAACGGAGGCACATTTCAGCTCTACCGGGGAAGCGATGGGTCCAGCACGGCCTATGCCGGGGTCCGCATCTCGGCCAACGTCGGCAGCGGCAGAACTTTCGAATCCTACTATTTCTTGCGAGATGGCGAGACTGGACTTCACATTTTCGGCCGGGTTGCGTACCCGAACGGAGGTTCCCTCGGAGAGATGCGCTTCCTCTTCAGGCCCAGTACCTCCATCTGGAACCATCTGTCCTCGTCTGACGAGATGTGGTCCGTCTTGCCATCCGGGGAGGGTCGAACGACGGTCCAAGACACAACATACCGCATCTCGGGGGATGGCATCAATGCTCGATACCGCACTCAAATGTCGGACTACTTCTCCAAGTACATGTTTTCCGAATCTTGGGAATACCACACGCACCACGGCCTTTTTACTGACGGCGCGGGTACTCGTGATGGATCTACCTACGGAGCCTGGCTTGTCATGAACACCAAGGACACATACTACAACGGCCCCAAATGGTCTGATCTGACCGTGGACGGCATTGTGTATAACTACGTTAGTGAGTCGCACTGATTCCGGTTCCGTGCTGCTTTGTTTCGCTCTCTCACTGACGAGGTCCAGTCTCAAATCACCATGGGAACGGCAATCCCGACACGCGAGGTCTGGACCGCACATTCGGCCCAGTAAGAAAACTCTTTGCAACTGAGAGCAGACCAAGCAAAAAAAGCTGACAAGGTTAGCAATACTACTATTTCAACAAGGGAGCAAAAGGTGCTTCGGTCAACGATCTTCGCCGAGACGCCGGTCGCTTCGCCGTTCCTACCTGGAATGCTGATTTCTACGACTCCATCGCGCAACACGTCCCTGGTTACATCCCAACCTCTGGCCGCGGTACTTGGTCGGGCCGCATTGCCCTTCCAGCGGGTGTCACGAAGCCTATTGCGGTGCTGGCTAGCAACCGACGGGATTTCCAGGACAACAACTTCGACACCAGAGCCCGTCAATATTGGGGCGAGATTAGCGCCAACGGTGAGATCACCATTCCTCGCGTCGCCGCCGGTACTTACCGCTTGACGATATACGGAACCGGGATCTTTGGGCAGTACATTCAAGACGACATCGTGGTTCGGCCAGGAGCTACGACCACAACGACCGCGACATGGACTGCCGAATCCGCCGGCACCGAACTCTGGCGGATCGGGGCCCCGGACCGCAGCAGCGGCGACTTCCGCCACGGCAACGAGCGTGACACCACCCGAACCAACCGGCCGAAGCAGCATCGTCTGTATTGGGCGGTCCACGATTTCCCCAAGGACTTTCCAAATGGCGTGAACTTCCATGTCGGGAGGAGCAACATCACACGGGACTTCAACTACATCCATTGGAGCGTGTTTGGCGGCAAGGCGAACAGCATCCGTCCGGAACCGTACTACAACAATCTTAACACTTGGAAGGTGACGTTTGATTCCACGGCGGCGCAGCTGCAAGGGAAGACTCGGGCAACTTTCACTGTTCAGCTCGCGGGCGTCAAGACTTCCGCGGGCAATACAGACAGCACGAGCAAACCCTTTGCCAACTTAGAGTACACTGTCGCCATCAATGGCCGAAGTCTTCCCGTTTGGACCATCCCGTATGTGATCCTCAATCTTCCTTTTCTTTTCTTTTCTTTTCCCTCTTCTTCTCCTTTCTTTTTCTGTTATATTTTCTTTGAGTTCCTTATTGACAATTGCACATAGTGCCAATCAGAGCAGCTCGTGCGGCGCAAGATCCGCCGCCAGCTGCTACAACACGCGAAACAAATGGACTTTTGATGCCAGCTATCTGCGGCAAGGCCTCAACACCTTCACGCTTTCTCTCCCGGCAAGGGCTACTGCGCCCGAGAGTGCTGTGCTACCGGAAAGTGTCTATTTGCAGTATGATGCTCTGAGATTAGAAGTCTCGTGAGCTCTTTCACAGAGTCTGATATCTAGGTAGTCGTGTAGCGCAGACTCTAATTCCTAAGCACAATCCAACGCCGGCTGTGATTTCTAGGAAATTTTACCTGCAAATCTGATATGAGGTCATCCAGCTCCATTTTCTGCCTTCGGATCTGAATTCCCTGTTCTCGGAAAGTGGATCCAGGCCGGACATTGGGTCCGGGCCGTGGCACCCAAAAAAACTCCGGCAAAAGTGGAACCTTGTCCGAGTTTCTGGAGCTAAATCACGTGACCGTATGAGCCCCAAGAGTCAAGGCAACAACCTGAACAGGCAGGCGGGATTGGCTGTGAGTGAGGGCCAGGCAGCAGCATTTTGCACTCTCCCTTGCATCGCTGGTGCATCTTGATCAGCCTAACCCAGGAGAGTGGGGTGTCGGATCGCGCACTTCGCAGGCACCGAAATAACGAATGCGATCGGCATTGAGTCGCAATGGGTCGTAAAACATGCAACTCGCCGTCACCCGGGACATGGAAGATTGATCGGTTGACATCAACACCGCCATAATATCTAGAGTTCTCAGCAACGCCTCGCGTACTGCAGCGCAGAGCCCACCAGGTCCAGGATCACTCTCGCTTGGACCTTACTCAGCCGTGAGGGGCAGTTCTCAACTACAGGCTTTGGATTCACGATTCCAACAAAGTCGATGCGTTGACCATCCGCAAACACAGTACGAAGCCGCACCGCCGGCGCCGACGCTGAGCCATGGATTCGTTCATCCCCATGGGCGGCACCCAGCCGGCCTTCCAGCGCCGGCTGAGCCGCCTCTACAACGACACCAAAAAATCATCCGACTTCGTCAAGGAGCCCGCCCACCATGCCGAGGCCGACCCCGAGATCAAGTCGCTGCACCGCAAGCTGCGCATCCAGAAGGACCGCCTTGTCAGCTGGGGCCTGGAGTGGTCCGACCCCAACCAGTCAGCCGAGGTGCTGATCGACTCGTCTCTCTCCAAGGCCGGGCTCAGCGAGGTCGTGGGCAGCATCATGTCCACCATCAAGGACATCCTCGCCGAGGCCGAGCCCCTGTGGAACAGCTCACGCCGCCTGGCCGGAGAGCGCGTCGAGCCCGAGGCGCCTCCCAGACGGGGCGAGAAGATCCGGATGGTCGTCTGGGACAAGAACCGGTTTGAGGACCTAATCCGTGACCTGACCACCTCCATCGACACGCTCTACGACCTCTCGAGGACAAGGTCATCGCAGGCGTCGGCTGCTGTCCGGCATACACCTTCTGTTACGGCACCGGAAGACCTGCGCCCGTTCGAGTCGTCCCGGATGCAGACGCCCCAGCAGATCGACCCCAGGTCCCTCTCCAGTTTACGATCCAGGCAGGCCGAGCCCATGACGGAGCGAGAACAGGATCGCGCACGCGAGATCGTCTTTCTGAGCAGGCAGGCCTTCGACGAGCTCACGCAGACTGCGTCCGGCGCGCGTCAGCCCCACGCCCCCCTGCTTCTCGAATACGCCTCGTTCGACCCCATCTACTCCATGACGGGGATCCCGCCGCCCATGGCGCGCTTCGAGAAGCTGTCGGCCGGGCTGCAGTCGGAGCCGCAGCGGTCGCCAGGGTCTTGGACCGGCTTGCCGCGTTTGCTGGGCTACTTTGAAGACATGGACAACTCGCGATACGGTCTCGTCTACCAGTTCCCGCGCCCCTTCAACCCCGTCACGTTTGAGCATCTCACGCAGAATCCGCTCTACAACTTGTGCTCGCTTGCCGACCTGCTCGTCCGTCCCGACTTCGAGCCCAAGCTGGAGGCCAAGTTCCGGCTCGCGGCGAACCTCGCCAATACCGTCTTTGACATGCACGCCCGTGGCATCACCCACGGCAACCTGGTTGGCGAGAACATCTCGTTCTGCAACGCGGTCGGGACGGACCCCGAGGTCAGCGGCATTACACAGGGCGAGGTTGACATTCGGCGGCCGCTGATATCGTCATTTGACCTGTTCTCGGATCCGCGGTCGCAGGATGCTCCGAGACAGTATTCTTTGTACAAGCATCCCCTTGACCCGCGGAACAGCGCCCAATCGCCCCTTGCCAACAATGCGGACTCCAAGACATTCGACCTCTACTCGCTCGCCATGATCCTCCTGTCGGTCGGTCTCTGGACCAAGCTTGAGAACCTGGTGCCCAACATGGAGACGCCAACACTGTCGGACACGCTGCTGGACCAGCTCGCCATTCGCTGCGGTACCCTGTACATGAAGGCCGTGCAGACCTGCTGGAACTCCGTCGACCAGGAGCTGAAGGGCACCCACACGACCGAGCAGATTGTGTCGCGCGTCCAGTTCAAAGCCAGCCGCTACCTCGAGGCCTGTTGCATTCTCGACGGCGTGAGCAACCTGGAGGAGCGGCTCGGCGACGATCTCGGCGAGCCCCGGCCGGAGCCGCAGCCAACGGCGGGCTCGTCCAAGGAGACCAAGGAGAAGTCGTCTGTAGCGCCATCTGAGAACAGACCGGGCGACCTTGTCCCGTCTGCCGATACACAAGCTGAGAGCCAAGGTAGGTCCACGTTGTGTGCTTGACCCTGCACATGTAGCTGACGACATGCAGAAGAATCAAGGCCATCCAAGAAGATGCGGCTCTACCCCCAAATACCCCTGCCGCCGGACATCATCGAGAAATGGAACACGGTGTTCATGCCGCAGATCAACAACGCCCTGCGCCAATTCTACTGCAAGCATCCCGAGTCGGTTGAAATTTCGCTCGAGTCTGTCGGCGACAGCCCCCAGCGGACAAGACCGACGGTCCTTGTTGTGTGCACGTCTGTCGGCAAGGTCAAGGCCATCTTGAAGAAGAAGCTGGGCAGCTTGTTCGACGGGTCTGCCGGTGTCGCGGTCAAGGTTTGCCGCGGCCAGGTCCTGCGTTCGCGGAGGCAACCCAGCCGGAGCACGGCCAAATCGGTCGACGACGGCCAGGAGATTGTGGCTGCCAACCCGGATTACCAGGAGCACCCAAAAAACGGGGCCAGCATCGGGGCGTGGATCGGCGACCGCCATCTGCCTCCGGTGAGTCTCGGCGGTGTCATCACGGTGGACAACAGGCAGTACGGGATGACGGTGCATCATATGCTGGATGACCCTGACCAGGAGGCTGCGGCGGGGAAGAGCGGCGCGCCAAGGAGCATGGCGGGCCCGCGCGTGCCGGATCTCGCTGCATGGTATGCAGAGCAGTACCAGCACAGCGAGAAGGACACGGATAGTAGCGGCAGCGAAGACTACGCCTGCGAGTTTTCCGACTCCGATTCAGACACGCTCTCCGAATCGGCCGTCACAAGCGACTATTCGGACGACGATGAGGACGAGGACGAGCAGGGGCAGTTCACCGAGCCCGGCGACATCCCCGGCATCGAGCCAGGCTGCGGAGAGGGCTATATCATCACGCAGCCTGCGCTCGACGACGTGCCTGACGGCTTCTACCCCTCCGCCGAAACGGAGGACGAGGACCACCTCGACACATACACCGTCGGCGAGGTGTACGCCTCCAGCGGGCTTCGCCGACGCACCGAAAACGGCCTGCTGCACGAGATCGACTGGGCGCTCTTCGAGTTCACCGACGACCGCGCCCCCGAAGGCAACCTCATCCCGCACATCACGCCGTCGCCCAGCGCGCGCCGACTCTCGTGGCAGAGCGAGTCGGCCGATGTGCCCGTGATCCAGCCGACCTCAGTCGTCCCTTCATCCAACCTTCCCGGCCTCGCAGTGCAGTGCATGGCGCGCAGCAGCGGCCTGCAGAGCGGCGTCATCCTGCAGGCCGTCGCGTCCGTCAAGATCTACGGACGCACGTCCCCAAGCCAAATCTACCAAGTCGCGGGCACGCCCTCCTATCACCATCAAAACAGCAGCAGCAGCAACGCCACCAGACGGCCGTCCCTACCGATGGGCATCCCAGGCGATAGCGGCGCTTGGGTCGTCGCCCGGGCCGATGGCGGCGCCGTGGCCGGGCACATCCTGGCGTGGAGTGAGCGCAAAAGAGTAGCCTACATCTGCCCGATGGACGTACTGTTGCGCGACATCGCCGAGACGCTCGAGGCCGACGAGATCCGGCTGCCCGGCGGGGCGGAGGCGGTCCTCTCGAGGCTGCCTTTGACGCAGGAAAAGCTGGGCCGGATGCTGACGCAGTCCAGCAGGCTGAGCAGGCTCTCGAAGGGGCAGGTGTCGGAGCTCGGGGAGGACCCGGACGACGAGGGCGTGCCAAGCCTCGTGTCACCGCTTCAGAAGACGCACTCAAGTCGGCGGTCGCAGCCGAGTCGGAGGGCATCCTATCGAAGAAGTAATCCGGGAAGTCAGGGGAATGACGACGACTGTTATGACGAGGCGCTTGAGGCTGAGCTGCTTCAGGGAATGAAGGAGCTGCAGCTGTCGCCAGAAGAGGTACCAACGGGAATGAGGTGGGGGGTTGCTTGATACCACGTGTTCCCATACTTAATGCATTCAATTAGCATATTGGATTGGATCTTGCCTTGGAGCATCATCACTTGACTGCTATGGGCTGATCATCTCTGCGAGTTCACACATATATTGCCAGTTCAACTGAGCATGGTTAACTAAGACTAGAACTAGACGCCATTGCCCTTACAAGCAAACGTTCAGTGCAAAAGAACAGATGGGGTAAAGAGAGGGTATATGTATGATACAACAAAATGAGAGTCCTCAAGTCAATCTGATTCATGCTGCCACCCGTCACCGTTTTGATTACCCATCCCGCTCACGCCACCGCGCCGCTGATTTGGTCATGGTCATCATTTCATATCGTCCGTGTCCTCCCCACTGATTGCCTCGCTCCCCTCACAGCTCATCCTTGCTACTCGTCGCCGAGCCCTTGACAACCTCAGTGGCATCGCTCGCAGCGCTGGCAATCTTCTCCCCAACACCTTTAGCCGCCTCGCCAGCCTGGCTCGCAGCCGACGCAGCAGTCGCCTGGGCAGCGCCGGCCATGCTCGAGGCCGAACTCAAACCCGTCGCATACGCCGCGCTCAGCCTCGAAATAACGCTCTCAGAGAACGACGGCTCCTTGCCGATGAGCATCTCCGACATGATGCGGCTGACGGCCGAGTACTGCTTCGCGAGCTCCTCCGACCCCGCAGAGGCATACGCGCCGGCGGCGCTAGTGACAGACGCCCCGCTCTGGCCGGCTGCAGAGGCGTAGTCGTTCGCGGCGCTGTAGACGCTTGAGTACCACGGGGTTGGCGTGGGTGCGCCGTAGACTTGGAGGCTGATCCTTGTGACCACAACGTCCCAGCCCTCGGCGACCTTGCCTCCCGCGGCGGCGGCGGCGTCATACCCTGCTGCGGCGGCCGCGGACACGTTCTCGCTGGCTGCAGACATGGCAGAGGAGGCGCCTTCGCTGGCCGCAGACATAACGGAGGCGGCGCCTTCGCTGACTGCCGACGCAGCAGAAGCCGCAGAGTCGCTGGCAACCGAGGCAATCGATGATGCAGACCCCGCTAGGTCGGTCGGCGTCGGGGTGGCGGTCACCGAGCTAAGAGCCGAGCTGGCGGCGGCGAGGAACTCGGAGTACCGGGCATGCGCCAGTCCTAGACCGGCGTAGTAGTTGTGCCTGGCATTGTCGAGCATCCTGCTGACGTGCTCGGAGGGTGTTGACGGGGTCGGAGTGGCTAGGCCGATGGCAATTTTGGCGCTCTCGTACTGCTCCTCGGCCAAGGCGCGGCCTTGCTGCAGACGCTCCGAGGCGATGGACTGGATCTGCGCCCAGTCGACGCCCGGCATCTGTGGGACAGGGAGCGTAGTGGGCAGGATGTTCTTCTTGGTCGTCGTGCCATACAGCTGGTTCGATGCAACCTTCAGGGCGTCATCGAGCCGAGAGCTGGCCGAGGCCATGGCCTGACTGTACGCCGACGTGACGGACGCTAGCATCTTCTCGTGCGCAGGCTGCGGGGTGCCTCGGATCTGGACAGAGACGATTGAAAGGGCCTGTGAGTACTGTTCGTTCGCCCTCGACATGGCCGCCGAGTAGGCCGACTTGAGGTCGTTGCGCATCGACTCCATGGCGGCCGGCACATCGTCCGCGTCGTCGTCAATGATCGGTCTGCGGCTGGGGACGGACTGTGCGGCTGCGCCAAAGAGCGCCGTCTTTACAGAGGCTGTGCTGGACAGCGGCAGGTCTTCCTCCTCGACGGGGTCGGATTCCACGGGCAACTCAACGGGCGCTGCCCTGTCCTCGTCCACTGGCGCGGTTACGTTGCCCACCATCACGGGGGTCTCAAACATCATGGTGGAAGCAACTTCAGGGGAAGGTTCGGCATCGGTTGGCTGGGAAGTGGGCTCGACAACGCTGGAGAGCTCCTCAGAAGCGGCAGAGAGAGGTTCGGCTTCTGATTTGGCAGCATCCTCATGGAGGTGTTCGGAGGCTGCTTCTGCTGTCTCGGCTTCGGGCTCGGCGTTTTGCTCCTCCACGGCAGCGGCGTCAGTCGGAGTGGTCTCGGAGTCGTCAAGAGTTACAGACGCCTCGACAGCAGGCTCAGACTTTGGGTCTGAGGTCCCAGAGACGGCAGACGCGCTCTCCGAGGCAGATGTTTGCTCGCTCGACCCAGAAATAGCATCGGTAGCCTTGCTCGCCGCTTCCGAGGCCAGGCTAGCGCCCTCGCCGATCGCATCCACCACTAAGTGTTGAGCCGCCTCCGCAGACTCAGCAACGGCTCCCGCGGCATCTACGACTGAGTCTTTGGCCGCCTCGGCAGAGTCAACGACGGCTCCTGCAGCATTCGCCGCGGCCAGTCGCGCGGCCTCGGCTGCCTCCGCCGCCTGCTGCATCAGAGTACTGTCGAACTCCTCGGTGTCGTCGCGGGCAGTCAGCTTCCAGTAGGCGACCTGCTTCAGGCGTGCCAGCTCCTTGGCAGCTGACGCGGCAACCTGCATCGCTTCGTCCTCGATGTTGGCGGCCTCAAGCTGGGCAGCTTCGAGACTCGGATGGCTGACGACGTGCCTCTCAAGGTCGCCCTTCCACTCGTCGAAGCGGCCCTTGAGCTGGTGGTACTTGGCCCAGTCCTTGTACGTGACGCCGTCCATCCAGGCCCACTTCATGCCGATCTTCTGGAGGGCCAGGTCGCGGATGTTCTCAAGGATGGAGAAGTGCGTCTCTGCGGCCTTGGTGACCGAGGTCTGCGTCTCGGTGTCGTACTGCTCTCGCCACGTGCGCACAGCCTGGGCCTTCTCCTTGACGACCATGCCCGCCTGTCGGACAGCCTGGGTGATCTGTTCCTGGCCCTCCTCAGGGGTCGCGCCGCCCTTATTGACCGTGCCAATGATGCCCAGTATGGCGCGGCGGAGAGAAACGAGCTCTGAGACGGTGGTCGTCTGCAACTGCTCGAGGAGCGATTTGCCCGTGATTCTCGCCTCGCGCCGGATCATTTTCTTGGCGATCTCCTGGACGCGCTCGTCGATTTCAGCAGCGCCCTCGTCCGCAGCCTTGGCGTACCTGTCCTGCCAATCCTTGAGATCGGCGGCGACGATTTCGCGGGCACTGCGGCGGACCGGGTCCTCTTTTTCGAGAGTCTCATCGATCTCGGGGGGCGGGATTGGTTCCATCGATGCCCTGGTGCGAGAGTCAACAGAAGGCTTGGCTTTTGAAGCGCTGGTGGACGTGGCGGTGACCGAGGCGGCAGGCTTCGTGAACGTGGAGGTGCTCTGGGTGGACGAGCTTGACGAAGCGTCCGTCAGCGGCCTGGGCACCGACTTCTTGCCGGTGCTGTGGCGGCCGAGGCGCTTGCTGATTTTGACGAGCTGGGGCTCGACATTCTCGACGTAGATGGCCCTGATCTGCGGCCCAACCGTGCCATCTACGAAGACGTAAGTCTTGTTCCATGCCCAGACGAAGGCCGGCACCACGGTCTTGCTCGTGAAGGCCGAGGTGGCCCGGTAGCCGTCTAGGACATGGGGCTGGATAAATTCGTACGCGGGCACCAGCAGCTCGTGGTACGTCTGCAGACTGCTCGTCCGGGCGATCTCGTAGTAGGGGCCGAAAGCGGTCGAGACGCGGTTGATGTGCGGGGCGAGTTTCTCATCGTATTTCGTCCTGGCCAAATCCTGGTATTTTTCGACCTGCGGCTGGACGCTCCTGTCCCATTGCGCTTTCCCGAATGCCCGCACCTGCTGCACCCGCGGGGTACCGCACTTTTTTGCGTAGCCCCAACTCGGAGCAATAACCTTCTGTTCGACCGTGTGGTAGTAGGGGCGGGCGGCCTCAACGTATGGAGCAGCGTATGTGTGGTAGTAAGGCTCGACGTGGGGCACGACGGCCTGTTTCAGCTGGAAGTAGGGCTTGCAAATGCGCGGAGACGTGTCGTCGCAGGCGTCGAGTGTGGCAGGGCATCGGAGGAGGATGGTCACGATGGAGTACCAGGTCAGTAATCTGCGACGCGGTGTGTTGTCAGTAGGTCGACCGAAAGCAGGATTGACATCGAAGCTTACCGCGCAGCAATGCTGAATGTTCGGGCGAGCATCCCCGGCCCGCTGGGCTTCGTCCTCCTTCTCATTCCTACTGCATGGCCGTTGAGACCGTTGAGTTGCGATTTGATGGCACCGTTGATGCCGTTGATGCCGTTGATGCCGTTGATGCCGTTCGTGTCGTTTGTGGCTTTCGAGGCCTTCAGGGTGCCGTTCGCGTCGTCCATGATGCCGCGTGGTTCAGCGCCAGGCTGATAACACAGCAGGCAAGGGAGCTGTCGCTCGGTATATGAGCAGCCGTTCGGTGCGGACCGGAGGGCTGAGCTGTGTCGCGCGGATGGCCAGACGGGGTAAGATGTCACGGTGGCAGGTCGGCCGTGCTGTCAGCGACGAAAATGAAGCTCAGTCAGTCTCCGTATCTCGTGCTGCCTGCTTATCGCACAAGAAGCAGGAGATCGACCGGTGAGAAAGTTGGGCAATTCAGATGCACGGCAATCCAGATGTAACGCAACGTTGAGAGTAGAACTGGGAAGCAGAAATGTTTATTGTCAGAAGTCGGCCGCTGCAGTCACTCTGGCCATGGTTACGTCTTTGTCCCGGGAATTGGTCGAGGTCACTGGCATCATGACGGAACCGGAGTCTTGTTTCCCGGTCTAACGTTAGCGAGAAAGCCCCACGCAGCCAAGGACGTCATCTGCTGCACCTGCCCTGCAATGCCTGCACCGCTGAAACTGCATCATGTTGGTTTATCGGACTCGAGCTAGGTTTCGGCGAATTGCATTAGGTCCGGGGATATCTGCTTTCTTGTCGACCCGCTCCTATGGCCTTACTGTGTAAACTCGCGGGCCTCGAGAAATCTCCAAGACATGTGCTGTTTTGTCGGTGGCTTACCAGGGAGCTTGCTTGTCGTGCACTATCTGTACGGACTAGAAGGGAAAAATACCAGAACATCGGGTTGCAAGTTTCAAGGCATCTCGCACTGAGACATAGGAGAAAGAGAACAATGGATAAAAAGGATGCCCAAGTAAGTTATTTGAGTTTAATTATGGAGCAGCTCCTCGATCCAGGGTTTTAAACAAGCCTAAAAGTACTTCACCCAAGGCGAAACTCTGACGGACAATGGCCGCTGAGGTCACCTTCGAGTGGAGGCACGTGCTCGACCCATTACTTCCCGCAAGATCCCAACTCTGATTGGGCGTCCACCGATTCCTTACGCCGCCATTGACAGCATTCATCTTTCGATTCTTTTTCCAAACTTCGACTTCCTCCCATCCGCCGCTCGACAACAACATCCCTCTGCGACCGCAAGTATCTCGGAAGAAGCATAATACTCTTAGAACCAACCGTTGCGCGTTCGATTCCCGTTGTGGCCCTGATACAGTCCAAGAATTTGAACCCCGAACAGTCGCCCGCTGTCACGATCATCATCCGCAACCCTCTGCCGATGGGCATCAAGCACTTCTCGCCATGACGTCGAATGGCGTGCCTACCCCCCAGCCGCCGGACTCGGCCCTCGACACAATGGCCGGCTCTTCCGACCCCTTCCCTCCGCCCGACCCGATCCGGTTTCCCAACACGCGCCGCCGCGCATCCGCCTTGGCGATAAAGAGCCGAATCAACCCTCCAGACACGAATCCCGCAGACCCCGACACCTGCCGGATATGCAGAGGCGAGGGCTCACCCGACGAGCCGCTCTTCTACCCGTGCAAATGCAGCGGCAGCATCAAGTTCGTCCACCAGGACTGCCTGATGGAGTGGCTGTCGCATTCGCAAAAGAAGCACTGTGAGCTCTGCAAGACGCCCTTCCGCTTCACCAAGCTCTACGACCCCAACATGCCAAAAGCTCTGCCGGCCCATGTCTTCGTCAGCCACACGGCCAAGTACCTGGTCCGCAATTTGCTCGTCTGGGCGAGGGCCGCCCTGGTGGGAGCCGTCTGGCTGGTGTGCTTGCCGTACGTGATGCGCTCCGTGTGGTCGTGTCTGGTCTGGATCAGCGATGAGGGCCTGGGCGGCCGGCCGGCCATTTCCGCGACGGTTGACGCTTTCAACTTGCTATCCAGCGCACCATATGGCAGCTATGTGTGTCCGTCGAGCCCGCTCTTTGCTGCCGACACGACCCCTGCTGCCGCCGCCAGGATCGTCAAGAACTTGTACGGTATCAACCTCACCTCCAGCGACCCCATCTACTCCACCATCATGCGCCTCCTGCTGGGCGGCCCGGGCTCGTCCGAGAAGCCTGCTGCCGCTCTCGCGAATGCGACGGTTCGCCTCCCCTCAGAACCATCACACCAGACCCTTCTGGGCGGCATCGTTTTCCTTCGGAACCTCACGCGATACCCCTCGGTCAACCGAGCCATCATCTCCGTACTCGAGGGCCAAATCATTACAGTTGTAGTCATTGCATGCTTCATCTTGATCATCTTAGTTAGAGATTATGTTGTGCAACAGCAGCCTGAAATCAACATGCGCGCCGCCTTTGCCGCCGGCGATATCCCGCCCCAGGCCGCTGACGCCGAGGATAATGCGGACGTGCCGGACGAGGAAGACGACGAGGAGGAGGAACCACTCGAAACGAATCACGATGGCCCTATCGATGCATTCGACGGAACAGAGCCCGCCAACCACCCTACCGCCCCTTTTATCCCCCGACATGGCTCTGACCCCCCCGGCTCATCGGCAGGACGGCCGCTCATACCCAACTTCGCGCAGAATCACCCAAGACCCGCGCCCGGATTCGACCGCGGAACTCCCATGCACGAGTTTGACCACGCAACAGTGCACGAGTACCTCGACATTTATCGCGAGGCGGGCGGTGATCCAGAGCTGATACTACGGATTGCTCGGGAGCGGAACCTGGACACCAGGCTGGATTATTGGATGCGGCTGACCAGGTCGATGATGGATCGGCAGCGGGAAAGCGAAACATTTGATGACAACCAGGCTGGGCCTTCGAGCGCGGCTGATACTGACTCCACAAATCCAGAAGTCGGGGATGCCTCAGACAAGGGCAAAGGCAGACTTGTGGAGGACACGGAAGAGGACGGGAACTACTCGATGGGAAACCCCATGCGACGGAGAGCTAATACCGACGGCCCTCCGGTCACCAGTTCCATCAATCCTTTGGCAAACAACAGCTGGTCCTTCGCAGCCCTTCCCTCGCCCCCTCCGGATCCGGATCCGCTGTTTCCAGATTCCCCTGCACACGAGTTGGAAGACAGCTATCCGTCTTGGGAAACCCCAGAGTCTTCCACCGGCACCAGGGCTTCGTCTCTCGTCCGCGACGACCCAAGCTACGGCCCGGAGGTTGGACCCAGCCGCCCGCATGAGAGCCCTATGGCCCACGGAGCTCTGCAGCCTGACCCACCACGCCGCGAGCCCGCTGGCTTGGCCGACAGGGTCGCCGACTTTATGTGGCGCCAGGTGGACGACATAGACGAGGCTGAGCTCGCTCCCGTCAATTCCCTCGGCGACTTTGCCGAAGAGGAGCCCGACGAGGACATCCCGGGCAATGTGCCGGCCAACCCAAACGGCGGCAACCAGGACATGGCCGATGCGGCCGCCGCCGACGCTGTCGAAGACGCCGAAGACCTAGAAGGCATTCTGGAGCTCCTCGGCATACGAGGGCCCGTTGCCGGTCTGTTCCAGAACGCCATATTTTGTGCGTTTCTCGTTTCCGTCACCATATTTCTCGGCGTCTTCGTCCCATACAGCATCGGCCGCGTCAGCATCTGGGCCCTGGCGAACCCAATGCGCCTGGCACGCATGCTTTTCAGCCTCTCCAAGTTCATCCAGGACTGTGCGCTGCTCCTTGGGGGTCTGGCATTGTTGGCCATTTCCGAATGGATCCGCGTGCTGGGCCGCGCATTGATGTTTCCGTCGCTTGCCGAATATTTGGGTGGTGTGGTCAACGCGTCCAAGGCTATGGCCCTCAGCGCGGCAAGCAGGATCGCCAGCGGCTTGATGAACGAACTGCCGCTTATCTCGGCCTCCGAAGTGCGCAACTTTTCGGCCGTCAGTCACGAGGCGCTGTTGACGCTCAAGGATCATATTGCGCTGGCTTTCTTGGCGATGTGGCGGCTGCTCGCATTTTTGCTCGGCGGTGACTACTCTGTGAAGGGCCCTCAGGTTTTGTCCGTCGCAGCCAATATATTCGAGGTTGCCTGGACCTCCCTGAAGACCTTGCCGACGGCCATTGTCAACCCGAGTTCCTGGGTCCTCGACCTGAATCTGCCCGAGGTCGCACGCACGGTGAACCCAGAACTCGCCCACTGGGGCGCGGTGGACAGGTTCTGGGCGGTGCTCGCAGGCTATGCCGCCATAACATTTCTCGCGGGTCTCTACCTGCGCCGGGGCAACCCACTGTCGAGCTCTCCGGCGGTGCGAGAGTGGGAGGCGTCCATCATTGATGGGCTCAACCAGGCCAGCGGTGTGATGAAGGTTATCCTGATCATCAGCATCGAGATGCTGGTCTTCCCGCTGTATTGCGGCATGCTGCTCGACGCGGCCCTGCTTCCGCTCTTCGAGAACGCCACCCTCAAATCCCGGCTGCTTTTCACCATCAACTTTCCCATCACGTCCATATTTGTCCACTGGTTCGTCGGCACGGGTTACATGTTCCACTTCGCCCTCTTCGTGTCCATGTGCCGCAAAATCATGCGCAAGGGCGTCCTCTACTTCATCCGCGATCCCGACGACCCCGAATTTCATCCGGTGCGAGACGTGCTCGAGCGCAACGTGACCACGCAGCTGCGTAAGATCCTGTTCTCCGCCTTTGTCTACGGCGCCTTGGTTATCGTGTGCCTCGGCGGGGTCGTCTGGGGCCTCTCTCTGTGCCTCCCCGGTGTTCTGCCAATCCACTACTCGTCCAACGAGCCGGTTCTGGAATTCCCGATCGACCTCCTCTTTTACAATTTTCTTATGCCGTTTGCCGTTCGGTTCTTCAAGCCAAGCCACGGGCTCCATGCCATGTACACGTGGTGGTTTCGCCGGTGCGCCCGGGCGCTTCGCATCACCTGGTTCCTGTTTGGCGAGCGGCGGATTGACGAAGAGGGCCAGCTTGCGCTCAAACCTGACTCGCCCGACCGGAAGCTGCCTTTCTGGCGACGGATGTTCCTCGAAGTCGACGCCCACGGCAAGGTGGTCGCCAGGACGTGGCGCGGCATCTTTGAAGGTGGCACAGCCAAGCGCCCGACGATGAAGAAGGAGCACATAATCCTCTATCAGGCCCGGAAAGCGAGCCTGGTGCAGTCGGGCCAGCTCATCCCGAATGGACGGTTTGTGCGTACGCCGGCATCCGACCAGGTTAAAATCCCCAAGGGCGGCACCGTGTTCCTGGAAGTAGACGAGAAGAACACATGGCGGGACGGACTGGCGGACCGGCCGGCGCCAGACATCTACTCGACCAAGCAGTACCAGCTCGTTTACGTGCCGCCGCACTTCCACGTCCGCGTCTTCCTCTTCATCCTGTCCATCTGGATCTTTGCCGCCGTCACTGGCGTCAGCATCACCATCGTTCCGCTGATATTTGGGCGGTGGATGTTTGGGCTGCTAATTCCCGAACACATTCAAACCAACGATGTCTACGCGTTTAGCATTGGCATCCACATCCTCGGCTCGGCGGCCTATGCACTTTTCCATGGGCGAGCAATCTACCGCGCCGTCAAGGAGCGCGCCACGGCCCTTGTCGAATCTGTGAGGCAGCGTGACGGAGTCCGGAAGGTGATCGGTGTCGTCGCCCGCACTGCAAGGGTCATCTACGCCGCCTTCTTTGTGCTCATCGTCTGCCCGCTGCTCATCGCCTCGCTAATGGAGCTTTACGCGCTGCTCCCGCTCCACCAGATCATGTACGGCGCTTTTCTGAGGCCGGGCTTTGCGGCGGCCGACACTGTCACGAAGGCCAACCCGGTGCATACCACCCGCGTAGTGCAGGCGTGGACGATCGGTCTGCTCTACCTTAAGCTGGGGATGCGCATCACCAACACTTGGTTCCGGGGAGGGCGTCTGTCGAATGCGGCCAGAGCGGTGCTGCGGCGGGGATGGCTGGACCCGGACGTGGCCATCCTGACGCGCTGCTTCATCGTCCCTGGCCTAGCGATGTCCTTGGCTGCCGTGGCGGTGCCCTTGCTCATGGCCAAAGCCGCCATTGCGGAAGGGCTCGTCGGGTTCCTGTGTGGAGCGTTTGCCAAACCGGAGGGAGCGCCCGATCAGGGCCTGGTCGACGCCTACTCGGTTCTCGTTTACCGCATGAGCTTCCCCGCGGTCGCGCTCGTCATCGCCAGCGTTAAGTGCGTGTGGGGCCTGGTGAGCGTCTTCCGCAGCTGGCAGATCCGTATTCGGGATGAGGCGTATCTGATTGGGGAGCGGCTTCACAATTTTGGCGCGACGAATGCGCCTAGGGCGAGAGGTGCTTGGAGAGCTGGCGGGGCGCGGCTGTGAGCTGGCATGGCAAAACCTGATATCGCAATTTGTTGTTTGTGTGGCTACCGATCACAGGAGGTATTCTCCCTGAACCAGCGATGCTTTGGCTGACATTTGCGGGCTACGGAGAAGTTCGGAGGCTCCTCATCATGGGCTAGCGTTTGGTATTAGGGACGTCACTAAGCAGGGGCATTGGGAGGGCACGGTTGTATGCATCAATAGACCACCCGGTATTAATGATCTCACGAACAGCGCAGGGCACCCGATCATGTTGTGACGAAATTGTCGACACACAGCTTGACGATTGTTTTCCCACCTCCAAGTTCGACTCCGTCCCTGACTATGTTGATACCTACAGCCAAGCACAGTCTTCGACTAACCGCGAGTCATGCCAGCTTCACTCAGCTCAGCCCTATCGTGGCGACGTTCTGGGCTTCTACTTTCTTCAAAACGGGTGCTGCGACATGCCTCGCGGCGTGTTTTGCAACTTGGCTGTCTGTTGCCTGGCCCGATGTGGAATTTCTTACGCAGTCATCCCATCTCTTGTAGCCCGGTTGAGGCGAACTTGACTTGATGCTTCACTCGATCACGGTCTTGGCAATCTCAGGCTCCAGAGCCGCAACACGGAGCAGCGCTGAGTGGTCTCGCCACCATGGATCTGTCGAAACGCAGCGGTGGAGATCGTCTCAGTCATAGCACTTTCTAGACGCTTTCGGGCGACGAGATCCGGGTAAGCTTTTCACCAGGGCTTTTCTTACTTAGCCGCCCGAGTCCTCCTTGGCTCGACGTCTATCCTTGACTATTCTGGGCTACTACGCTGGACGTTCATTCTTTTCTTCTTTCCTTTATTTGCTTATTCCAACTGCTTGGTCAGTCTTTTTGGTCCTTACAAGCTTTTTAGTAACAATGTCAGCTCCGCTGCGGGTCAGCCCTCTCTTCAGTTCCCGCGTCGACCCGGAAAGACGTCGGCACTCGCACCCCTTCAGCCCGCTACACAGCCATCCACCACGCACTCAGAACACGCCTGAGGACCCCTTTCAAGGCGAGACGGCCGTCTCGTCCAGCCAGTCGTCGTTGGCAGAAATCGAGACACCCTCGGGCCGGCCATCCGCCGAGTACGCCTCAGGTCGATCGTCCACCGAGTGCGGCGACAGCCACCCCGAAGACCTCGAAAAGAGCCTGCCCATCCACACCATCCCCTCGGTCAGGCTGCAGATCCTGCGGAGCGGACGATGCCACCATGGCGATCAGCAAGACAAAAACCACTCAGGGCGGTGCATCCAAGTGAAGTCGGCCTCCGATGAACCACCCTCTTCACCGACTCGCCCACATCTCGGCATCCGAGAGCGCCTCGCCCACTTCACCTGGGCGTGGTACACGGTGACCATGTCGACGGGCGGCCTCTCGCTGCTCATCCACGCGCAGCCGCACCAGTTCCCTGGCCTGCGCCACATCGGCCTGGCCGTCTACGTCGTCAACCTCGTCCTGTTCGTGCTGATCACGGCCGCCATGACCGCACGCTTCGTCGTGTTTCCCGGAACATTCCTGCGGTCGGTCACGCACCCGCGCGAGGGCTTCTTCGTCCCGACTTTCTTCTTGTCCATGGCCGCCATTATCACGTCGACGCAGCGGTATTGTGTGCCTCCGGATCCCGAGGTGGCGCAGGCGACGGCGGGTGGGTTGCTGTGGGCTATCCAGGTCGCCTTTTGGGTGTACGTTGTCGTGACGACAGGCGTGGCTGTCGGGCAGTACTCGTACGTCTTTGCCGCGCACAGCTTTGGGCTTCAGACCATGATGCCTACGTGGATCCTGCCCGTTTTCCCCATCATGCTCTCGGGCACCATCGCATCCGTCATTTCTGAGTCACAGCCGGCCGCGGCCAGGGTGTGCATCATCGTGGCGGGTTTGACGTGCCAGGGGCTGGGTATTGCTGTCGCCTTCATGATGTACGCGCACATGGTCGGCCGGCTGATGCAGTCGGGGCTGCCGAATCGTGAGCACCGCACGGGCTTGTTCATGTGTGTTGGTCCGCCGGCGTTCACGGCGTTGGCGTTTATCGGGATGGCTCGCGGCCTGCCCGAGAACTTTGACCACGACATGGACGGGCTGGTCGATGCGGCCTACATCGGGACCATGAGCCTGGTAGGCGCGGGATTCTTGTGGGCGCTGAGCTTCTGGTGGTTTGGCATTGCCGTCTTGGCTGTTGTGCAGAGCCCGCCGAAGTACTTCCACCTGGGCTGGTGGGCTGCTGTCTTTCCCAACACGGGTTTTACGCTGGCCACCATCTCGCTCGGCACTGCTTTCCGCAACGAGGGCATCCTGTGGTTTGCCACGGCCATGTCGGTCCTGTTGCTGCTCACGTACCTGTTTGTGCTGTACCACCATGTGCGCGCCGTCATCGTGCAGGAAATCATGTATCCGGGGCGGGATGAAGATGTCGAGGATCATTAAACTGGAAGGGCAGGGACATGGAATAGAATAGATGTAGTGATGTACCTACAAAAAACTCTGAACCTGAATTTCCCGATTGTGATGCGGTGCATCCCAAGGGGCGATTTCCGCTCTCAACTCCTTACTCCCTGAGGGTCGGAAAACACATCGGCCGCATCCCAGCGCTTCTTGATCTGCTGCATAAGGGGCAGGTTCTCGCTCCAGTATTGCTGCTGTGCGTCTCACATCGCCGGGTCCACGTAGGGCAGCCGGGCATGTTCCGTACGTTGTGGCGGACAGGATGCTAGGACCTGGCTGCGGAATTCGGTAATGGAATCCTTGGACTTTTGGGCCGCGATCCTGTCCATGCCCATGGTGTAAGACTGATAAAGACCAAGGATCCTGTCCCGGTGCACGAAGGCGTGGCATTCGCAACCACGTCACCGACAGCGCCGCCCTCGGCCTTAGGGATGATGAACCACAGCGGAGGTACTGTTGATGATGGCGCCCAGGGGCATCACGATAAACATGGTGCCGAATATCCCTGGCCGTTGGGGCCAGGCCACTGCCGCAGGCATCACTGGAATGTCGAGAATGTCGAGATTAAACGGCTGCGCCCATGTTGACTGGTAGAGCAGCGGGCTGGGAAACTCCGGCAAAGCCCATCCCGCCGTTCTCAACCGTCTCGAGATATTGCCGTAGTGCACTCTGCGAGTTGCCCATCGCGAGGTCGGCCGGTAAACCGGTGGTCAAACACAGCTCACGTCATCACCAACCTGGAAGGGACTCCAGCAGTCTCCAAGGAGTAACATGATGCTCCGCTTCACCTGAGCCGCGACGGAAGCGAGAACCATTATCGTCGGACTACCCGAGTTCCTCCAAATACATGTACATCATCCATGTACAGGGCAAGTACCAGCCGAAGCCGGGGGTAGACACAGCCTGATGTGATCAAAGAGGCGACTGCGAACGCCCTAATCCACTTTGCTGCTCTTCACTCGCGCCCGATCTTCCACGTTGGCTAGGAGTGCCACATTGGCTAGCATCCCTCGAGACAGCCGAGATTCTGGGCTCAACGACTGCCGGTCTCTGTCTCTGCATTTATTCGCTACCTTAACCCGTCTTTCGCTGGCCAGTAGCAGTTCCAAGCGTCCATGCTGATGCGCGCTGTCGTTCTACGCGCAGTTGTGCTGCTTCGTGCAGTCGTTCTTCGCGCAGTCGTTCTTCGCGCAATCGTGCTGCTTCAACCGCGCCGATGAGCTTGGCCGGCGACCGGAGCTCGGCCGAGTTCGGATAGAAGTCAAACCACAAAGTTTCCCCGCTCTCCTCGATTTCCCAGCTGCCGCCGTCCTCCCCAATAACCTCGCGCTCCAGCTTCTTGGCCACCTTGCTTTCCCGCTTAGCGCCGGACTTAACCCTGGACATGGCAGCCCCGCCTTGCTGCTCCCCGTTTGCGCGCCTTGGTGTCGACCGGGCCCGGGCCGAGTTCTCAACGATGGCAAACACCTCCTTTTTATGGATAGGCATGGAGTCTGGAACGTCCAGCGACACATCCGGCAGCTCCTTAAGTCTCAGAGGCAAGCGGAGCTCGGCCGAGTTCTCCAAGTCGAAAACCATTTCCTTGGCCTCCCTCGCTACCCAATTCGTGTCATCCAATTTCCCGTCGCCGTTCTTTGCAGGGCCCGACTCTTGGCTGTCCTTGAAAACGTCCAGCACCTTCTCCTTCTGAGTGGCCTGAGGCTCTTGACAGCCCCCTGACACCCGTTCCCCGTGGATAGGAGGTAAGTCTAGACAGTGTTGGGGTACGTCTGGCACTTCCTGAGCCGCCAGAAACTCTCGAAAGTCCTCGAACGCCACCTGTACCCCTTTCTCATGGTAGGCCGGTGGGGAACACTCCTGACTGTCCATGGACATCTCCAGCACCTTGTTCTTCTGGGTCCCCCGAGACTGTTGGCGAAGCGGGGGCACCCCTTCGCTCCCAGGGGTTGCTGAAGACTTTGGACGACTGTGGAACACCTCGTCCTCGTCCATTTTGGAGATCGGCAGGAATTCATAACAGTCATCGAACACGTCGTTGTCGTCGTCGTTGTCGTCGTCGTTGTCGTCGTCGTTGTCGTCGTCGTCGTCGTCGTCGTTGTCGTCGTCGTCGTCGTCGTCGTCGTCGTCGCCTTCTTCCGGGGGTGTTGGTGTAGACTCTCTACAGCCCGTGGGCACCTTCTGGTCCTCGAAGCTCAGCGGGAACTCTGTCCAGGTCGGGTGCACCGTGTCACCATAGATGACATCGCCCAAGTCGTTCCAGAACTGGCCAATGTTGAAATCCGGACCTTTGCCGTGGAGCAGCTTCCCGTTTGCAGCCTCAAACATCTCCCGCATGAGCCGGAGCTTCTCCTGCGACCTGGGCACCGCATCAAACAGAAACTTCTCGGGCTTCGCAATTAGCAGCGGCGTGTAGTCGTCCCAGTGCACCGGGATCTCGCGCTTCGTGAGGGGGTCGCGCTTCTTGCGCAGGTCAAACGCCCATGACAGGCCACCCATGGTGAGAAACAGGTCCTGCTCCACGATGGGGATGCCCTGGCACGTGCGCCGGCCGAAGCCAAACTGAGAAAAGGCAGAGAGGTTTGGGTACCGAAGAAGCGGCTCGCGGTAGGTTGGATAGCGCGGGTCGATCCAGCGTGCTGGGTTGAAGGCTTCGGCGTCTGGATAGCGGTGTTCGTCGCGAGTGAAGCTCCTGAGGCAGTTAGAAAGTCAGCACGCACGAGAGGCGAGAGGAGTGTACTTACCATTCCAGTGCGTGGATTGTGGCGCCGGCGGGTACGAGATAGCCGTCGTAGTAGTCGTCGCGCTCGACGGCATGGGGAATCCCTACCTTTCGAGTCAGTGTTCGGGTTGGAATGGCCGCAGCACATATTAGGGGCAATGCTTACCTGTCGGGACCGGCGGTCGCCACCTGATCACCTCCTTGACCACAGCCCGGAGCAGGGGCAGTGTCTTCCTGTCTTCCCACTGCGGGCACCGGCCACCCAGAACCTGGTCAATCTCTCTCTGTAACCTGCGCTGCCACTCCGGGTAGTGGCACATGGCCAGGATAAAACTCTGGATCGGCGCGCCGATGGTGAGCGCACCGGCAATAGCCATCAGCCCGACGACGTGCGTGGCCTCGGCCTGGTCGCTGCGCAACCGCTTCCTGACCCTCTCGTCCGGACTCGCCTTGTCCTCCATGAACGTCTTGATAAAACTCGGGCTCGCCCTGTCCTGGGCCACGCTCTCCGCGACAAAGCCGACGTTGGCGCGGAACAGGCGGCTTTCCAGGTCATGCCGGTCTCTCTCTTTCTTTTTCCACGGGGACACGATGCGAGGCACGTAGCGGAGGAAGCTGGCCTTGTTGGGGAGCGCACCGGCGGGGCTGATGGTCTCCAGCAGCCCAAACGTGGTATGTCGCAGGATCTGAGCGGGCGCCGCGGTGCCCCAGCTCAGCCACGAGATGGTCCGGCTGGTGAACTGCTCGACCCACTCGACGTAGTTGCTGGCGTCTTTGGCCATGAGATAAAGAAAGCGGTCGCGCTCGAGGGTCGGGTACGAGTGCAGGTCCTCGAGTTTGCTAGCGTGTATCAGGTGGTTGCAGAGCTTTCTCTGGCGCTGCCATGTCTCTTGGGGCTGTTAGTTCGGTAGTCGCACGGAGAGTGCAGGGGTGCGAGACCTGCCTGTGCGGCCCAAGAGGGCAAGGTACTCGCCGCTGGTGCGGTTGTCGGGCAAGTTCGGAATCACTGGGCGGTCCGAATAGATGGCGGCGCGCTTGGAGAGGAGTTCGGTGGCCACCTTCTCGGACGAAATCCACACATGAACCGTTCCGAACATTTCCATCTTGTAGATCGGACCGTATTTCTTGCTCCATTCGTAGAATTTAAGCCAAGTTGCCTTCTCTGGGATGTCGTGGATACGTCCCATGAAGGGCAGGCCTAAGCTGGTCAACAACCAAAGGGACTGCTGCTCACGACAGAACTGACTCACCCCAGGGCCCGGGCAAAGGCTTCGCTCCCAGCCGCAGCCTCCCGCTGCGGCGAATACATATCTTATACACTGTAACAATGCTGACGATTATAAGCACCAGCACCGCCGCGATTGTCATCCTGGCGACAACTCAGGCTTCTGTTCGGCGGCCGGGGCACATGATAGAAATGCGAGGAACCGAAGGAGGGCATTGGCGCGGGACTCATGGTGAGCTTTAAATATCGCGTCCAAGATGGATAAACTATGCACAGACGTAGGTGTGCGACGAGCATACGCATTTGCGTTGTCCATGCGACCGTCTGAACTCCTTTTGATCCGATGGTTTGCAGGACACCTCGAAGTAGATTGCGTTGCTGGTGGGGCTTTCATTGTCCGTGATGTGCTCCTTCTTGACTATCGCAGTGATCTGGTAGGCAGTCGGAGTCAGATCCGGATGAGCCTGACGCTCGGAGCTGTTGATCGAGTCCTGGATTGCTGGCGATCATCCTGACGTTCAGACAAGGCCGGGAGAGGGGCATGTTAAGCTATGAAGCCGTCAGCGGAAAGGGTACGTCACGGTATCTTCAACCAGAGAAGAAGGCATGAGTGACAAGAGGTCAACAGCTTATCGGGTGAATGAGGCCACACAATGCCCAAGAAGAAAGCAAAGAAGGGAGGAAGTGCAAATATACGGAGCAAGGTAGTAACTCTTATAAATTGTGTCAGAACTTATGCGTGAACTGTGGTATGATCAGCTGTCATCGACATGAGCATGCTTGCACATAGCCATCCCGTTACCTTTGTAAATATAATGGAATGAAGTGCAAACGTTCAATAACCTGAGACACGAAATCTTCTCGCGCAGCGCCTCCTTGAGCTCCAGATGCCATCCCTCTTGCCGCCTGCAGAGGCAAACTCAGAATAACAAAATTTCCCCAAGTACACGACGCAGCCAAACAGCCCAGGGTTAGAAGCAGCGGCCGATGCCTGGTCTGTTGTGCTGTCTAGAAGCGAGGTCAGGGAGCGCCATCTTGTCGACGGAACTGAGCACATCATATCCATTCACATCCTACACAGCTTAGCACCACGCACGCGAAGTACGGACGACGGAAATACTCACCGCTCAACGGGACTCAACCCCAACAGCCTCATCCCAGTACCCAGCACCGTGTGCGCCGCATCATACAGCGCCATGCGCGCCTTCATCAGCTCCCGCTCGCTCCCGACGACCTGCAGGTGGTCGTAGCTGCTGCTCAGGGCGTGCGTCATCTTGAACAGGTACGTCAGCACCGTCGTCGGCTCCAGCGTCCTGAGCGTGGTCTGCACCGTGTCGGGCCACTGCGCGAGCAAACGGACAATGTTGACGGCGTGCGCCTCGGTGAGCAATGAGAGGTCCGCGCTGGCGAGGTCTTCGTCGCTGAGGTTCGCACGGCGGCGGATTGATGACACGCGGGCGTGCGCGTACTGGAGGTACGGGCCCGTGTCGCCCTCGAACGAGGTCATGGCATCCATGTTGAAGGTGTAGTTGTTGATCCTACGTCAGAACATTAGCTGGGACGGCGGACGTGCGCAGACCGGGAAAACAAACCTCTTGCCCGTCATGTCCTGCACCATGACGCTGCTGATGCCGAGCGTATCGGCCGTCGCCTCTGGATTCTCCACCTGGTTGTACTTGTCCTCGTTCTTCTTCATCGTCTCGTGCATCTTGTCGGCCACGTCGCGCAGGATGTCGTCAAGGAACTTGACGGTGCCCTTGCGGGTGCTCATGCCCAGGACGAGGCCAAAGTTGATGTGCTGGCACTTGACGGCGATGTCCTTATGTCCCAGCAGCTCAATGATCTTGAACAGCTGCCTCAAATGCAAGTCCTGCGCCGACGCCACGACGTAGATCATCTGGTCGAACTGGTACTTCTCGTGGCGTGCGAGCAGCTCGCTGATGTCGCGGGTCAGGTACAGGGCGGTGCCGTCACGTTTCCTGACGATGGGCTTCTCAAGGCGCTTGCCCTCCTTTCCCGGCACGAGCTCTTGGAAGTCGACAATCAAGGCGCCCTTGTCCTCCTTACTGATGCCCTTCTCCAGCATCTCCCTGCCGACCTTCTCCATAGCCTCCTCGGACACTTGGCTCTCGCCGCTGTATTCGTCGAACCTGATGTTGAGGCGGGCATACGTCGCCTGGTAACGCTTGATGCTGAGGTCGCGGAAGCGCTTCCACTGGGCTAGCGCCTCGGGGTCCCTGTCTGTCATCTTCTTGAAATAGCGGCGAGCCTGCTCGTCCAGGCTGTCGGCCTCGAGCTCGGTGACGTCCTCGCCATCCTGCTTCCGCTTCTCGATCTGCTCCTTCTCGGCCGTCATTTCCGCGTTGATGCGGACGTAGAGCTGGAACAGGTGGTTGATGGGGTCCTTGTTGAGCGCCTCCTCGTCGCCGTACTTCTCAAAGGCCAGAGCGAGCAGGCCGTACTGCTTACCCCAGTCGCCGAGGTAGTTTATCCTGATAACGTCCCATCCGGCGAATTCGTGGAGGTTCGCGATGAAACCGCCAATTATCGTGCTGCGCAGGTGGCCGGCGTGGAAGGGCTTGGCAATATTGGGGGAGCTGAATTCGACAATTATGCGCTTGCGGCCCTTACTGGGATCCGTGGGGTCCCTCAAGCCGTTTAACTTGTTGCTGCCAAAGTCTTTGCCGTGCTTTTGGATCAGGGGGATGACTGTCTCGACGACCGGGGCGCCCTTGACGTAGAAGGCCATGAAGTAGTTGACAACGGTCGGCTTCTCGAAGAGGAGGTCGTTTTCCGGAAACTGTGGCACGCGCCGAAGTCAGCATTCGGCGCAGGGCAGCCATTCTGTTGCTCCCACCTTCTCGGCCCACTGCTTGGCGAGGTCATCGGGCTTCTGGCCCTTAACCCGGAGTGCGGGCGCAGGCAGAATCAAGTCGCCCTTGTCGAGACTCTGCGTCCATGACAGGGCGGGGTAGATGATCTTTGTGTCGACGCCGGTGATGTCAGAAAGAAGGTTGGAGAGGTGGGCGCGGTAGAAATCGAATGGATTGAGGTCCGGGTGGCAGTTGGGGTATTTATCGGTCATGGCGTCGAGGCTCATGCCGCCGACCTTTTGCGCGAGCTGCTCCATCGGCGTCGCACGTGTGCGGAGGAACGAGAGGGTAGTCTGGTTGCGATGCGGGATGGCTCGGCCACGTGCAACGACAAGGACGGGCGTAGAGCGTGTGTCGAAGTGGGGAACAAATCGAAGACGTCGAGTCCTAGTGAACAGCCTGGCAGAAAGAAAGGATGTCCGAAGAAAAGAGAAAAAGTGAGGTGTTGCTGCTGAGCAAGGTCTCATGGAGGGGCAGCTCGAGAGGATTGTTAGAAGGTTTAATGACACATGCTTGTTGACTCCGAAACACCAACTAAAAATTCAGGGCGGCCCACTGGGCTAGTGGGTCAGGAGCCAACCCTACCCCGACAGCTGGGCCAGCGGCCACGATGACCGAGGTGAGGACGGTTTGCTTGGCATACCACTTGGCCGACCCTGCTGCCCCTGATTCGAGGATGCTCATTACCTGGGTCCTGAGTATGCATGAAGAATCACCGAAAACAAGATGCAATTAGAAACTGTACTCTTCAGCATACAAATGTATCCCCTGCGCGCCCGTCCCTTTATGCACCGCCCTCTCGTCCGACAGCGCAGCCACGCAGTTCCTCACCCTCGACACCAGCGACGGCCCGCCACAGACGACCACGCTGGTCTCCCCGCCCGTCGCCTCGACCGGACCCCGGATGAAGCCGTCCACATCTGGCCGGACAGCTGAGTAGAGCACGTGAGAATCAGCGCTCGCTGCGTCGCTCGCTCGCTTCCGCGCCACAGGGGCAGCCTGCTCGATATCCGCGGGTTGCGTTTCCGTAATTTTCTCGTCCGCCTGCTTTCCCAGATTGGTGGCAGACGACGAAGCGGACACGGCCCCCACTGTAGGAACATTGCCCGAGCCCTTTGCAAACACGGCAGGGCCCTGGGTGACGGCAATATGCACTCCCAATTCGATACCAACCTCCTTAGCGCGATCAATCAGCTCATGAAGGCGCGAGACGTAAAAGTCGATCTCATCTCCTTGCTTTGCCGCGAGGAGGAAATCGATCCGCTTAACACAGTTCGTTTTCCTCGCCTGCAGCAGGCTCTCCAAGATGGGCAGTGTGAACGAGGCTCCGGTTGATGCCGATATCAGGATGATGGTCTCGTAGATATCCCACCGAGGTGGCGACCCATACGGCCCGGACACGAAGACGGTCACGTGGTCTTTCCTCCCGGCCTTGGCGGCGAAGTCGTGCAGACGCCTGGAGAAGCCGCCGTGCTTGCGCACGACAAGCTGGATGCTGTTGCAGATGCATGTGTCGGGCAGCTGGTGGGCGCAGGCAATCGTGTAGGGGTGGGCCTCCGCCACGCCGATCCGGGGAACCCAGAGGTAGAGGTGCTGGCCCGCCCGCCACTTGAAATGCACATCCTTGACCGTCATCACGGTGATCGAGTCGCCCACAGCCTTCAGCTGCGCCTGGTGGCCGATCCTCTGGCCCCCTTTACACCTAGACTTGTCGGGGAACAGCTTGATGTTCTGCCAGAGGAGCAGGGCCATCCGGCAGGCGCGGTCAAAACAGAGCGCCGCAATAGCAAACCATACGTTGTACACGGCGCTGCTGGGAACGTGGATGTAGATTAGCCAGAGAAAGATGATGGCGCTGAGGAGGTGCTGTAGAACAAACAGCTCGTAGGACATCCGCCGAAATGGCACGAGCCCCGACACCATGGTCCACAGCAGGATCGCCCACGCTCCAAAGCCGTACTTGATGGAGGGCTGCATTTTGAGCTGGTACTCGACAAAGTCGGCGCGCGCCCAGTCCGTGTAAAAATGCCAGCCGTGGACAGAAGCTGTCACGAAGACGGTGCGGCTGACCCAGCGGTGCAGCCAATTGAGTCGCTCGTGGCTGGTTCCTACCAGAAAGCCGATGATGCTGCATTTGGACGCCAGCAGGTAGAGGAGCGGCACCTGCGTGATGGTGACCCAGGCGTTGCGGTAGCCGATGCGCTCCCAGAAGAACGCGTCCTTGATGACGACGTCGGTCGTCATCATGTAGATGATGACGATCCAGTAGACCAGCAGAGCGATGATGCGGCCCAGAGGCGGGGGCGTGAGCCAGGAGAAGCCACGGAGGCGGATGTACAATTGGGGCGCGCTGGCCTCGCGAACGACGGCGGTCAAGGTAGCCCATAACTCCAAAAATTGGTTACTGGGTTTTGTCGGACACTTGATCGAACTTGCGGCCCTTCTTCGCAGGCTGGACGTTGTTAGTAAGAGGTCACTGACGGCGCAGGACAACAAACTGACCGTCGCTGCGATTTGTAAAAGTTGACCGCCCGGACCAGCACCAGAGCTCCTACGAAACCGGCGATGGTGTACCAGTATCGGCGAGCCAAATCTGTGTTGACGGCAGAGAACCCGCTCATCCCGTGTGAGTGGTCCATGTTGGAGGTTGGGTCGCGTGTCCGCAACCCGGCGGCTCGCAGAAAGCAAACTTTCGAGGAGCAGGCTCGGGCTCTTCGTCGCAGATCCTGATGCAGGTCACTTGTTCGAGAAGTCGGTTCGTCGGGTTCGCGCGGTCTCAACTCGCCGCCCTCTGTGGTGAGCGCCAGGTCATTCTCCGGCCTTTACTGGATGTGGAGTGCGACAACTACAGCTGTTGTTTTGGGACGGTGATACAGGATCGTCAGGTGATCAATTTCCGTGCGGTGAAAAACCAGTAAGACGAGGTCGACCAGCGAAGCCGTCCGCTGCTATGGGGATTGCGGCGAGAAGATCATCGCGCTGACCGGCAGAAGCGCTATGATATGTACGTAGAAGCTGGGGTGTGGGGGCCATTACTCAATCGCCGGTCAGGGTGCTCCGTATGCACTTATGAGAGCAACAAGTCAGCCCGAGCCCGTGCCAGATTTTCCACACAGGTTTCGGAGTTCGAGAAACAAGAGCATCGAGCCCGTCGCACGTTGTCATTGTTGATCCGTTTGCGAGCAGGTTGGAGGCGAGGGCTGTTTCTGACTTCTGAGTGGTTGGTGACATTCGAACTTGCTCAAACCCGCTCGCTCACAGGAACGGATGCCGAATGCGGTTAGCGCCTTGTCGGTCGCTTGCCCTCCCACACCCACAGAACTCCGACGCCATGGCGCCGCTTCCTGTTCATCTGACTTGAACTCGACAATACCAGGCGTTTGGTAAGAAAGTGAAGTTTGGAATACTGTTTATTGGCAAACTAGGCAGTATGCATCGGTTCTGCAATGTCGTTGCATTTCAGACTCTTCAGCCCCCTGGTCTCGGCTGGAAAGCTTGGCTTTTCTTCAAAGCGGGTTTGTGGGGTCAAGTGGAGAAATCCGGCACCACCCCTCAAATCTTGGCCAGCACCTTGATGGTTCCGTCACCGTGGAATTGGCTCATCTCAGTGGCCTCATGACTTCGCATGAGATGTACAGTTGTCAACGGTTTGAGCATGGAATTTATGATGCAAACCGGAACTCGGCCCTTGGAGATCGACAGCCATGGGGCGAGGCAGCTGTACACGTGTAGAACCCCAGGATCGGGTTTCTGGGCCATGAATCCGCCATGGCCGACGTTGCATCGTCGTGCACAAAGGATTTGTATTGTACTGTACCTGTGCAAGTACTTACATGTCCCCAACAGGCAAGGCGATCTGGCATCGACTTATAAGCTGTGGCCCCCTGCGTCTGATGGTTCCCCGGCCGATGCATTTCGTCGACTTCGAAGTCTCGTCCATCCCACCCACCTGCTTCTACCGGACACTCGCGACACCAAACACGAAATACATCAACCACACGGGAGACCAAGCCGTCAGACCAACAAGTTCAACATCCTGCGCCACTCTTCCGCCGCCCATCCGACTCTAACCCGGAAACTTTAAATCTTCCAGGATGGCACCAGTACGCTCACTCCTGATCGCGGCGCTGCTCTCCGCCACAGCACAAGCCCACTTCGAGCTGATCCAGCCCACATCGCTCGAGGGCGACAGCTTCAACGAGAACCTCGAAGCCAACGCGCCCTGCGGCGGTGGCGTTGCCGACCTCTCCAAGAACACGGCAACCGACTTCCACGTCGACGGCGACGCGGTAGGATTGCTGTTGGGCCATGCCCAAGCGAACTGGCTGATCCGCGCCACGCTGGACGAGCGCGCTGGCGGCAACTGGACCCAGCTGTTCCCCATCGTTACCCAGAGCGGCCGCGGCAATTTCTGCGAGCCGTCCGTCACGGCTCCGAAGGAGTGGGTCGGCAAGAAGGGCATCATCGGCATTGCCTGCGCCGCTCCGGACGGGCTTCTGTTCCAGGTAAGCCCCCCATTGACGCCTACCCTCGGTTTCATTTCCTGCTGACCGTGTCGATCAAAAGTGTGCCGCCGTCAACTTTGTCGAGGGTGCCAACAAGGCCCCGTCCAATTGCCAGAACGGGAGCTCCGTGAGCCTGAGCTTCACTAGTGATCCCACCCTTTCCGCCCTCGTGGGCGACGCGTCGTCATCAACCGCTCCTTCCCCGTCATCCTCTAGCTCCGGTGCCCCGTCAGCCTCCACCTCTCCAAGCTCGGCGCATTCGTTACTTGTCCGCGGTAGCAGCCTGCCCATTGGGAGTCTTGGGGTTGCCGCCGTGATGCTGTTGGTGGGCGCCGCTCTGTTGTGAGCTGTGCCGGGTGTAGCTATGGCAGGTGTTGAGTTCAGTTTCTTCGTCGGAGCCCTGGGGCGAGCATCAACGAGGTCCGAGGGCGGTCGGTCTGGCAAACCAGACTGTATTGGGCGCGGGGTCCGGCAGCTGCCAGTCGTTGTACTACTATTATGGTCCTCACACGGTCGTGTATGAACTAGGTCGGCATCGCAGCAGCCGCAAACAGCCCTATCGGCAAGATGAAGGCCTGAGTCACGGAAGCCCTGGAACTGGGCCGGCCGGCTCGCTGCAGGTGGGGTTGGCCGCCGGAAACGCCCGCGTCATCGCCCACAACCACTCCCTCAAGTGATTCATTCAAGCTCCACCCTCAAACGGGCCGCTCGAGTGCTTTCCCACTGGAAATCTCATCTGCCATTTGTCGAACAATCAGATAATCAATATTTTCATGAAATGGGACTGGGGCTCGGTGCAGAAGGAGCGGGCCAGGTTGTGAGAGAGAGCGTGAAAGGGCGGGGAGGAGGGAAATGATGAACGACAGGAAAATGGTGGGTGGGTTCAGCCTTTTGTCACGAACAACCATGCAGAAAAGTTGTCGTCAACGGAGGCTGAGTGTCCAGACTCTATTGCACAGGTATGATGAGGAGATGCTGTCTATGACTTCAAACCTGTGTCAGCGGCACTCAGCCCTATCGTACCCTTCCGGGCCTCCGGCGCTGGTGTTCGAAGGCCGAAATCGATTGCGATTTCACGTTGTTGAACCGTGGACTTCAAATGGGCAGGCAACGATCGTTGCAACCACCCCAGTGAGTGAGTGATTGTGGGAGATTTGCTTTACAACCAAACAGAAGCAACTCGCGACTTCCTGTAGTACTTTGCGGGTGATGTCAAGTACCGTAAGTCTGATGATGGGAAGGAGTGTCGGCTCAAGCCATGCCAAGAAAAGGAAGGCACGGAATCGTATTCATTCCCCCCCGTCTCTTCTCCTTTCCCCTTTCTGCTCCTCTTTCTCATCTAGGCCAAACCGCCATTGCGTTCATGTGTCATCGCACGACTCGCACTTAAGAACTGTCAATCGTTCTGTCACTCTTTCGCTCGTGCCATGCCCGTGAGAGATGGAACCGCTCAAGGCCTCCCTTGACGGCGCCATCCAAAGATGCCCACAAGCCGGATATCCGGGGGCTGTATGGCTGCACTCGCTGCGGTCGAGCTGACGCCGTGTCAGGGACCTCAACATGGTGGTGAATCCGCTCGAGTCTCTCCATGTCGTGTAGCATCATGTGATAGTACCCTTCGTCCTCCATTTGAAGTTAAGTGTAGGTAGCCTGTCTGAACATGAGCGGTGTTTGTGAGCCTTGGGATTGCTGACAGAAGGCAGCGTACCTTAGCCAGGGCAACCCGCACGTGCGGGTTTGTCGTGATGCTTGCAATGTTGCCGCTAATCAGGGCTTGGTTCATGCTGTTTGATCGTGTCTGTTCGACGACAGCAACACAAACCAGAAAATGCACCTATTTATGTTCCCTAATCCCTGGACGTCCGGTGGCGCCATACCTAAGGTAGTCTGCTAGCTGACGATGCCCAGGGCTGCCGAAATGGCCATGACTGGGCCACCCAGAATCAGGAGACTAGGATCTAAGAGGCAGCCTCACCGTACCATGCCGCCAAACACAGCAGACATCAGGCGGCACATCGTTCGACTGCTCAACTGCATTGTCACCGGAAGGTCGCCGCTGTTTTTTTCAGCGGCCTTCCCGCTGCGTTAACTTGTGATTCGTGGATTCAAGCTGCAGAGGAACCGGAAGCAATCCGCGGCCCCGCGGCCCGAAATTGATATTACATATTAACTAGGTACATCGAAGCATACAAACGCTCCTTTTATGCCATCCACGGTGCCAAACGGCACAGCGGCGGTCCTGAACCCAGCCCCTTATAAGTGCAGGAGCACGAAGACGGGGCCGAGCAGGCCGTTGATGCTGATGCAGGTGCTCGTCAACTTGTGGGCGCAGTCGGTGATCTGCAGGACGACAGCCTTGAGCACGACGTTGACCTTAAGACTGGCGACGATGGCCAGGCAGAAGTTGACGATCGGCGTGGCGATGCTGAGGATGATGTCGAGGCAGGCCTTGAGCTCGACGCCGACGACAGCGAGGATTTCTGAAGAAGCAGTTAACCTTTGATTTTCAGGCTATTCAAAGCAGGCTGTAGTCTGGTAACTCACCGGCTTTAAGGACCACCAGCGCCTTCAGGCAGACCTCGACCTCGGCAACGAGCGCCTGGACGCGGACGATGAGGTCCAGGACAACCTTGAGATCGGCCTCGACCAGGTCCTCGGCATCGAGAACAAGACCGTCGAGCTGGGGAACGCAGTCGTCGAGGAGGATCTTGAGGTCGGCCTTGAGGGCAACGATGACCTTGAGGAGAGCCTGGGCATCAACCTCGGCCGCGGCCACGATCTTGGCTGTTTGATCGTCAGTAGAAGTCTGATATTCACACGCGAAAAGGACGTACCGATCAATTCCAGGTTCGCCTTGACCTTGGCCTCGACCTCGACGACAGTCTCAACAACGGTCTTGACAACGACAATGACAGCCTCGTTGTTTTCGGAGTTGGGCTTGCCGCCGGGGGTGCCCTTGCCCGGCAGCGTCACCGGCACACCTTTGCCCGGCAGGGGCACGGGAAGGCCGGTGCCGTGGACGATTTGGCTCGAGCTGATGCTGGGCAGGCCGACGCCGGGCTTGTCGCCGCATGCGCAAGGGGATGGCGTAGCCGAAGCCGGAGTCGAGGAGCTGGCACTCGGCGTGTAGTGACGTGAATCAATGGCCGGGGCGGCCATGGCGGAGCCAACCGCGAGGGCGGCGAGGGCGGTGCCGAAGAACTTCATGGTGAAGGTGGAGTTGTAATAAAATCAAAGTCTGAAAGAGTGACTGAGGTCTGGTGAGTATGTATTGAGGTGGGTGGGTGTAAGTGAGTGTAAGACCCGTTGAAGCTGGTGTTGAGAGAGAGAGTTGGTGGGAGAAAGGAGATCTGGGTATTAATACACATCACTCGCAGGCGTCTTTGACCTTTTGGGCAGTAGTACCCTACTGTCCATGAGTCCATGACATTGAAGGGGATGAGCGAAGTCCACCGACTCCAGTCGCCATCCACGAGCCCGGGCCCGGCGTGCATGTGCCGCGGCGGAGCTTCCCACGACGCGCAGACCTAACAGTGTCATTGCGTCCAAGGGCGACCCAGGATCTCTTCCTCCTTCTCAGCATGGTGTTGGTCGCTGATCCCAATAGCCTCTGCCAAGCTCCACAGCCCTGGCGCAGATCGCCAACCCTAGGTCTCGATCAGGAAATCTGGGCTTACACCGTTAACCTCGGCAACGGTCCGGCGGTGCTTGATATCTCTGGATTGGGAAGGGAGGTCAAGCCAATTCGAGCACTCCCTTACTTTTTATCATTATTATTTTTGATTTTTATTTTTTTTCTTGAGAAACCTTTTGTGAACCTGTTATCACCTGCAGCGTCCAGCTCGCAAACAGGGAGAGCACCAGCCTCTGGGCGAAAGCGGCCGACGTCAGGGATGTACTCTGCCGGATGTTCGCTGAGAAGCCGCTTGTCGATCATGGCCAGGCCCAGTCGTAGCGGAGCCCCAAGCCTAGTCGGTTTTGTGTGCACGGAGTACACACTACATTCGGATAGACGTGAGGGGTAGGTACAGTTGTGGCGCTTGCAATTACAGTAGGGTCCAAGATTGCTCGCGCTAGGGTCAGCCATGGCAACTTTAGGTATCACTCCTGGCCAGGCCAAACCTCCCTCGTGTTGTTGGCTAGATGAAACGCACCAGGCCAATGCAACCTTACCCTTGGCCATGAGGTACTAACGTTAGAAAGGGTGCCATCATTTGCCTGTTCCTATCATGATCGACGCCCCGAATCCTGGGACCGACTGTGTCGGGAAGCACATGCGCGTCTTCCCCTTGCATGCGGCTGAGGGCCGACGTCACCAGAAGCAGAGCCCCAACGTACGATTGCACTGACAACTCCCAACGCAGACGCCTGATACCCAAGGCCCAGTAATCTCGTCGATATTTGGTCCCGAGCTGTGTGAGTTGGTCCAGCCAAGCAACTTTGTTTCACATCAATGATCCAAGTCCCGAGCGAGATGGAGCGAGAAAGCCGGAAACACGCCGTCAATAGCCTCTCTCCAACATCGTGGAGCCGGCCCCATCCGCTTGGGTCCGGACTGAAATGCCGGCGGTTTCTTTGTTCCTGAATGCACAGGGTTCTTCCCGGTCGGCGAGTCGGCATTTCAGCTCCCCACAGAGGAAACAACCAACACGGCGCCCAACGACTCCAGTGAGGTGGGACGGCTGAGCGGATGTTGTCGATCACCACTGGGCATTGTCAGAGTTGGCGGCTCTGCCCCCTTTGTTGTTGTGGGTGCCATTTCACCCTGTGCGGCTCATTCCGTTGGTGGAGTCATCTCACCCAGCTCACATGGCTTCGTCTGAAGCCATGGCTCTGAAGAGCCACAGCAGCCTCTGCAGGCCATGAGCAGTCATCGTGGCAGAACTCAGGTGCACATGTATCAACTTGTATACATCAGTAGATTACGTTCATCAAATGCCCCTACTCCCGACGGACGCCGCCTACCTCTTCCCCTCCTCGCATCCCTCCTCCTTGTCCTTCCCCCTTTCCCTCCTCAGCTTCGTCGACGGAGCGGGCAAGTACTTGATCCTGAAATTGACCGTCTCGGCCGGGTCGTACTCGCTCGCCTTCTCCGCATCCCCAAAGATGCGCAGCGCCCTGACGGAAAACTTGTACAGTCCCGGCGGCGCGTACGTCCCGTCCGCCATCTTGCCGTCCCATCTGTACTCGAGCGTTCCGCGGGCATTCCAGAATGAAGGCATGCCCTCGGGCATGCCGATCGACTTGGTCCCGAACATGTTGGTGCTCGCGTTCTGCGCCACGGTGGTGCACTTGCTCATGGGCACGACATCCACGCGGAGCAGGGCTGAGCCCATGGACAGCTCCGTGACCAGCTTGGGCTGCTCCGTCTGGTTGCGGTAGGATGTATCGTTGGCAAAGCCAGGGGGTGGGAGGACAAAGGTAACGTTGGCGGGCACTGGGGTGTTGTTGTCGTCGCTGGCGCGGCTGAGCTTTGCGCCGTCGGCGCCGAGCACCACAGCAGAGTGCATGCTGCCCGCCACACCGAGATACGGAAGGGACAAGGCCGACCCGTCGGTGCCGTTGATGGCGATGTAGCCAGAGTAGACTGGCAGGCGCTTTGTGTCAACTCCCTTGGGCGGTGTCGCTGTGACGGTGACAATCTTGCGGTGGCCGGCGTCGATCGTGAACTCGCTGGGAGAGAAGGACAGCGATGCAAAGTCGCCCGTCAGATCGCCGGGGAACTCCGTCGGAGTGATGCTCCCGTCGCGGAACGTGTACACCATGGCGGCACCAACATGGCTCAGCTTGTACGTGATGGCTATTTTGCCCGTGTTGGAGATGCTAAAGTTCTGAACCGGGTTGAAGTTGTCCGTGTCGTTGAACGACAGGCTCGACACGCTCAGCAGCGTAGTGGCGTGGGCGGCATCCCAGGCTTGGATCAAGCCGGCGCCCTGCTGCGGAACGGGGGCAAGGAAAGGCAAAGACTCTCCCTCCACCCGAAACACGTTCGGATGTGCTGTACCCGACAGTAGATTCTCGAGCGTCTTGGGGTCCTTGGTGCCACGGACGTTCATGAGCAATGCATAAACGCCAGCTGCCAGAGGGCAAGCCATTGATGTCCCAGAAAGCACGGCGTAGGCGCCGAGAGCACGGGGGTACGTCGACAGGATCAGGCCGCCGGGCGCCGCAATCTGAGGCTTCACGTCTACCTCAAACGTGGGGCCCCAGCTGGTGTAGTCACTCAGGAACCCACCGGAGGCTGTGTTATTGGCGTAGGTGATGAACTTGCCGGCCTTCAAAGGGTCCACCATGTTCAGCACTACCTCAGATCCGGCCTTGAGCGCCGCGATCCAGGACTCGCCCTGCGCGGCCGTCACCATGGCCACGCCCTCGACGCCCTCTACGGATGCCGACACGGCCACTGTTCCGCCAGCGTTGTTGTAGAACATGACGTACTTGGCGCCCTTGGCAACGGCGTTGGCCACCTTCTGCACAAAGGTGCAAGAGCCACGGCGGACCAGCACGATCTTTCCAGAGAGATCCGGAGTCATGTCGGGGTAGGGCTCGCATCCGTTTGCCGGATCAGTCGTGTCGAAGTTGACAGCCCAGAGGGGAAGGCTGACGCCGTCCCAAGACCCCGGCTCGCCGGCCGTGAAGCCGAAGGCTTCTTCGGTGTCGTTAATCGTGTAGGAGGCGTTGCTGAGCAGCGTGGCCGTGATGGTGTTGTCCACAGACGCGATGGCGGTGACCTTCCGGCCGTTGGCGGCGGTAGCCGCGTAAAAGATGCCCACGTCGCCGTCGTTGCCAGCCGAGACCACGCACGGGACGCCTTCCTCGACAATGCGCGACACAACGGCAGCCCAGGGATCCTCGCTCCAACCCGAAGGCCCGCCGATCGAAGCAGTGATGATGTCGCTGCCAGCCTCGTAGGCCATGTTGTAGGCAGCAATTAGGATGTCGTTGCCGACGTCGCCGGTGCATCCAAACACGCGGTACGCCCCCAGAGTAACGTCACTGGCGGCGCCGAGGATGCCGTACGGGTTGTTTGCCTGTGCCGCAATGATCCCTGCGACGTGCGTGCCGTGGCCATTGCAGTTGTCGAGCGGATCGGGGTCAGGCGTGGGCGTATTGGCGCCATTGAAGGCATCCCCGACCAGGTCCGTGCCGTAAGAGACCAAGCAGGCATCACCGAAACAGCCGCCAAGAGCTGGGTGGAGATAGTCGATCTGGTTCTGTCAATAGAATGCACAATATGCGCCGGAACGCGCCATGAGGCTGACCTACGCCGGTGTCGATAACGGCAATCTTGATGCCCTTGCCAGTGATGCCGGCGTCCTTGAACTTGTTCACCTGTGTCATTAGGTGCGTCGAGAACGTGTCGTTCCCCTCCTGCCGCTTGGACAGAACCGCCTGGACGGCATCGCCTGTGGAATGCACGATGTGGTGCGGCACAGGATAGCGCCGGACCGGGTAGACGGCCTTGACCTTGGGCATCGCGGCCACCTCGGCGGCCATCATTTCGGCATTCTTGGTGTCCTCGAACTGGATGGATGCACCCTTGAAGAGCTTGAAGCGCAGGTCCTTTCGGAGTGAGGCTTTGCCTTCGAGGTTGTTCACGAGTTCATTCGAATCCTGACGAGTTAGCAGGATTTGACGACAGCGGCGGGTTGACTCACCTGATCCTCCTCATACTCGACAATGTAGGCGCCCGGGACGGTGGAGGGCGTGTTGGCGATGGCCCCCGCAACGGCCGTGACGGCCAGGAGCACGGCGGCCAAGTCTAGCCGGACCATGGCGCTGTTCTACTGTGATCCCCGCGGAGTGAGGGCGGCACAAGGGGGGAGCGAGCAACCGGAGGCTGCGCAGCTGGCGAGGGAGGAATGGCACTCGACAACGACTGCAAACCCACGCCTCGTCCAGTAACTGGTGCAAGGTCGAACTGGCGCCATGGGGGTGTTATATGTAGCCATGGTTGTGAGCGGGACGACGGAAGGTTCAGGGGGGTGTCTCACTCCCGCGCGCGTCAGCACCTCAAGGCAGGTCGCGGCCGAATTTACCCAAAGTCTTATCACCGATGCAATTGGCGGCCCTCTTGGACCAAAGTGAGGCAGATTGCCCCGGAGCCGATTTGCTCGAGAAGGCAGGTCGGCCATGTCGCAACCGTGGAATGCGACCTCAATAGGGCATGAGATCTGGCGCCAAGCGTTGGTTTAATTTGTGTAACTGTGGCCCACGGGACTTGTCTTGGAACAGCAGCTGCGTGTTGGGCGGAGAAACAATGCAGTGCTACCGACATGATGTGCTTGTCTCAGTTGGCGAGGGAGCATGCGCATGGCTGATCGGCATTACACTGGGCTTGGCTTCCATGGCACATCGAACCCATGTCACGATGTTCGCGAAGGACCAGCAATTCTGATGCTTGTCTGCTCCCGCCGGAGCCGGAGAGCGCGCCGAATCTTGAATCGATCGGGCCGCCATGCTCAGCATCCCATCGCCTATCGACGTCTCCATGATCCATGAGCGTTCGCGGTGTTTCGATGCCGGATCAGGCAAGTGGCTAGCGGCATCCTTGTCGTTCGCGAGCCAAGGAGGCTCCGCCAAGTGAGCTTTGTTGGGTCAATGCGATCGACTGCCGATGTCCGACATGGCGAGATGAGGCGAATTTGTCATTCGAGAGGGCTTACAGCGATTGCGGACTTGGAAGGAGACAAACAAGCTGAAGCAGTTTCTCCCGTTCGTGTGCCTTGCAGACGATTCCTGCGCTTGTCCCCGCAGGAAATGTCACCTTCCTGGCTGAGCTCTGCGGTGCCCCTCAACTCTCAGCCATCAACATCAGCCGATGCAGGTACTTGAGTGCATCTATTCGGATATGCAACTCGAGAATTCCTCTTGCTTGTCATGCTCTGGGGTTAGGGTGACAGCGGTTCGCAAACAGCGGCGGCAAGGCCAGAATGGTCGAAGAGGACGCAGAACCAAATACGGTGCATGCTGAAGCTGGCAGGCCTGATGCTGTATTGTACAACGCTTCAGCAGCCCGACTGTGATGGGGAACGGGTGCTGTGAGCCTCCGAAGAAACCGCGCATGTGCCGACGCCAAAGCACTTGGATGGTTATTTTCCAGCCGCTGCAGATAGATTGTCGTCCTGCTGTTGCCGCTGCCGGCCGTCCTCGTGGAAGCAGGCTGCATCGTTCCGGCGCGGCACTCCGTTGACATTCTGGATGGGGATGCATGCATTGTGTAGAATATTTGGGGGGTTGCTTGTGGCACCACGCCTGGTCCACGAGCAGCATGAAGCTTAGAAAGGTTGCAGGTCCCATCGTACGAGGGGTGACCGGAGTGACTTAAGTGGGCTGCATCAAGCGGCCCGGCGATGATCCAGCTGAACGAATCGCATGGCTCGAGTTCCACGACTTTTGAGCAAACGATCAAGCTCTCATGAATAGCTTAGATTCGCAAACATCTTTCTGTTGGAAAATGAGACCGCTAAGCCCCAGAGCTTTTTAAAAGCTGGATGAAAAGAAACGGGAGTTGGCGGTTCCAATGCATTGCCGGTGCGGCAGTGCCGGGCTGGAAAGTGGGGCAATCCCCAGAGAGTGGCGTCAAAAGCACCAATCAACGGCCGGCTGATTGCATTGTAAACCTGCACGAGCCGACTTTGGCTGGCAAGGCACTTGGCAAGAGCTGCATCGAGCGTTTGACGACTCGCAAGTTAGCTCGAAGCTCAACACCAGCCAGCAGACGAGAGAAACCGACCGTTCCACTGTGTAAGAATCTACGAAGGGCAGACCTCACGCAAGTTGTTGACTTGGACTGCAACAGAATTCTCGAGCCGAGACCACAATCTGCCGACAATGATTTGCCGAGCGTGCCTGCGCGCGAGAGGCCCTTTCAGGCCCCATGGCCATCCTGTCCAAAGACTTTTTCAAGTGTCCCAGAGACGATTGAGTTGCGTAGCCGGCCCAAGACTGCAGTCTACAATGTCACAAATACTACACTTTCGCAATCCACCCCCCAACCTTCCCGCAGCAGCCCGCAGCAGGCTCTTTTCCACATCGGCACCCGCGTCGTCGGTCGCCGCGCAACCGCAAGAATCAACCCATCCCACCGCCGGCGCACCCGAAAAGCCAGCCTACCTTTCAGAAGGCGAATCGCAGGTCTGGGACAGGCTGGTAGCCGAGTTCGCGCCTACAGAGCTGGTGGTGCAGGATATTTCAGGAGGCTGTGGGTCTATGTACGGCATCGAAGTCAGCTCCGAGAAGTTTCGCGGCCTGAACATGCTCAAGCAGCAGCGTCTCGTCAATGCCGCGCTCGGGGACCTCATGAAGGAGTGGCACGGTGTGCAGCTGAAGACGAGGGTGCCATAGATTGGAAATTCGGCTTAGGGGTCTCCGGTTCCATGTGGCATTGGGAAGGCGTTTGGCGTCGGTAGAGCGGAGGGGATGTTGTTGCTCATATGGGCAACGTCTTGCAAGGCGAAGGACATACTCCTCGGCAACCTGTCGTGCGTCAGCCTCAACTACACCGTACCCTACTTTGCGACAGGAACCGTTGAGCGCTCTATGGAAACCGGCCGCCATGTTTGTCGCCCGGTGCAACGTGTCTTACACTCAAGGGGCCGGACACCCAACCCAGCTCAGTTCCCGTTGGCCAATTCGTACCTGCAACAGCCCGTTCTGACTTCAGCGCGACATTTTCACACATCTCCCGCTGCCTTAACCTCTCTGAATCTGTAGACCCCGCCTCCACCCCGCCTTCACTCCACGCGGTGGCGGGCCGGCGGGCACGTTTGTTCCTCTCTCCTGACATTGGAGCGGAGCATCCAGATCTGCGCTTCTGACACGTGAGGTCGAAGTAAGGACCTTTTGGCGTGATTCGTCGCAGCTGCCAAGGCCAATCGACCTGGGTCAGCCAATGGCCTGGCTTCGGGAATCGGGGCCGCATGTACCGGTAACACACCAGCCGGCGTGAGCACCCGAGAGCTGTGCTACAAAACCGGTGCTCTCCCAGCTCTGTTTCACATCGACGCTGTTTTGCTCGTTGACCCATCACCTCCCTTACAGCCCTATTATCCAGCGGTATGGCACCATCAAAAAGCTACTCCGCCGCCGTCTCGGGCTGGTCGCACACACCGTCCACCCCCATTCTCCTCTGGATGGCCGTCTCGTTGCCCCTCGTCGCCTGGGACACGGCCTACATGCTGCTGCGGCCACACACCATGCCCGGCGGGTCGCTGCACTGGCCACTGTGGGTGCCGTACGCGCTTTACGGCGAGGTCGACCACATGTACGGCTTCAAGCAGTGGCATCTGCGCAACCCGTTTGCTGCCGCCCAGAGCCTGATGAACCTGGTCGAGACGGTGCTGTATCTCGGTTATCTGGGCATGTGGTACTGGTATGGGCAGCCCGGGGCGCGCGGGGAGCGGAGGGCTGTTGGCGGGAGGGTTGGGGCATGGACGCTTTTGCTGGGGTTTAGCGCGGCTGTTATGACGGTAAGCAAGACGGTGCTGTACTGTGAGTTTGTCCCTGGCGTCCTCTTGTCCTGACTTGGATACTTGGGCTGACTGGTCAGGGGTTCTTGAGTACTGCTCCGGATTCGATAACATTGGTCAGAATGACCCCTGGACGCTTTTCTGGTTGTGGATTGTCCCCAAGTAGGTCCTCCCCTCCCTTTGCTTTGGAAGATCTCTTGTGCTAAGCGTGTACAGCGGTGCCTGGATTGTCGTTCCATTGGTCTTCATGATCTACGGCATGGGGTCAGAAATTGTTGATGGCCTGACCACACAGTCGCACTTAAAGGGTCAGTGAGGGTTGGGAAGCTCGGGGTTCGGCAGCGGTGATACAAAGGAATCCTTAGCGACCGTGCAAAGCTGGGTTGAGATACACCTTAAGCTCCCTGAATGTGCTTCACACCGGACGGCTGGGGCAGTTGAAAACGCTGGAATGGAAGACGGTCGAACTATGCTGGGTTGTGTTGGAAAGCCGATATCTGGTTTCATGGCAATCCGGCGCATCTGTGAGGTCCTTCTGAGACATGGCTTGATATTGGATTCACTTCACTTGAAGACGATTTCAAAGCTTGTTCCTCGCCGTCCGAAATTTGTTATATAGAAAGGGTTAGGGTCGGCAGAGTGTCTGTCGCGTCGAATCTGGTCAAGCGCGTCGCGCTTGCATCTTCTGCGGCATCCTCGACCAACATTCCCAATTCATGGTATGGCGTCACCATGGCTGCCATCACTCCATACACATATATCCAATGTCCCTGCTCGGATTCCTCGACCCTCGGGCGGTCGTCGGACACAAACTCATCGAGGGCTGATGGGGCTGACGACGACGACGACCGCACTTTCGATCCCCGCGCCCCGCGGTCGAATTACAGCCTCTACCCGCTCGAATATCTGCTGTACTGCGAAGACTGCCACCAAATTCGGTGTCCCCGCTGCGTGGCAGAGGAGATTGTCACGTACTACTGCCCCAACTGCCTGTTTGAGGTGCCCAGCAGCAACCTGAAGAGCGAGGGAAACAGGTCGGCCACTCCGCAGCGTTTGGCCCTTTCGTTTCGCTGACAATCTGCCTTCAGATGCACCCGCAGCTGCTTCCAATGCCCAATATGCATCGGCCCCCTCGCCGTAACGAGCGTCGAGACCAAACCCGACCCGAGCCTGCTGGCTGCTCCAGACAACACCGCCGCACCACAATCGGGCCCCTACGCCCTGACCTGCTCCTATTGCAACTGGAGCTCGACCGAAGTCGGCATCAAGTTCGACAAGCCAAATGGCATACACGCCCAGCTGTCGAAGTTACGAAATGGGGGTACGGCGAGACTAACTGCAAAGGAGCGCAAGGAACGGCGTAGGGACCCGTCATACCGCTCTTCAGCAGCAACAGAACAGGGCGACGGCCGCTCTGGCAGTGACGAGAAGCTGGACCTGGAGACACAGTTCGCAAACCTCAAATCGTTCTACCAGAGCCAGCTCGCCGACCCAAACGCTTCGGACGGTGGACTCGCCGCGCTGAGCGACCTCGGCTTCTCCTCTCCCACCTCGCTCTCCCGCATCATGAGCATTTACACGGGTGGCAGCCTGCACGACAAAAAGGCAAAATTACGCGTGGGCGCCATCCGCGAAGCCCTCGAAGTCGACGAAGGCTTGCAGCTGGCCGACCTCGACGAGTCGGCCGCCATCGCGCAGCTGCACTCCGAGGGCCACGACGGCACCGCGTCGACCTCACGACTCTCGGACCAGCCCCCGAATTTCGGCGAAGCGCACCTCCACGGCCGCAGCCGCTTCGTCTCCGAACTCCGCCCGATCCCCTATCTCCTCCGCACCAAACGGTCCAAACGCTGCCCCGTCTGCCGGCACATCATCAGCAAGCCCGAGGCCAAGGTCCAGACCACGCGCTTCCGCATCCGCCTCGTGGCAGGCAGCTACATCCCGAGCATCGCCATCCGCCCGCTTTCCCTTTCCAGCGGCAGCGGCACGTCCGCTTCAGGCAGCGCCGGGATCCCTGGTGCGCTGCTCGAACCCCTCAAACCGGCACACTACCTGCTCACCTTCACGAACCCCATCTTCGAGAGCATCAAAGTAACACTCGGCGCGCCGGCCAAGACGCCCGGCCGGTTTGCGAGCAAGGTGACGGTGCTGTGCCCCGAGTTCGAGATTGACGCGAACACGGACGTGTGGGACGAGGCACTCAAGGATCCGAGCGGCGCCGGCGAGCTTCGCGACAGGGAGAGAGAGAGAGAGAGGCGCCGGCACAAGGGCGAGGAGGGGGGTAACGTCAGTAATAACAATAACCAGCTAGAGGTGGGCAAGATTTGGGAGCGGGGCAGGAACTGGGTGAGCATTGTCGTCGAGGTGGTGCCGGCATGGCTGAGGCTAGAGCACGGAACGGAAGAGCAGCGGCTGAGGGAGGACGAGGACCTCTTGGAGATACCCATGTTTGTGCGCGTCGAGTGGGAGGCCGAGGCCGTGGGGGACGAGGTTGGGGCGGTTGTCGGCAGGGACAAGGAAGCGAGGGAGAAGCGGGAGCTGGCGTACTGGTGCGTGCTGGGGCTCGGGCGGATCAGGCACTAAGGAAACCTGGAGTATTGGCAGTTACTGTGTTGGGCCGGAAGAGCCAATCTGATACCCAGGGATTGCAGAGATGATTTGGCTATTTCATAGAGGCTTGTGCTGCGACACGGATAAAGTACAGTGTTACACATTACCGGTGCTGCCTTTTACGCCCCAAACTGGTCCTGATAGTTGGTCAAGCAGAACCGATACCTGATATCGTTCTTGTGCACCCTCTGCAGCGCGGTCGCCAGGTTCTCCTTGCTGATGGGTATTTCCTCCACCCACGTCCTGATCCCCTTGTCTGCCGCCAGCTGAAGCATGGCGAGCACCTCCTTCCTGCTCCCGAGATGCGAGCTGCCAAAGAAGCAGCCGTTGGTCAAGAAGGTCTGGTTGCGGACCTTGATGCCGTCGTCTTCGGGGAGGCCGACGCTGACCCACTTGGCATGCACATCGAGCAGGCTCAGGTAGGCGTTGAGGTCGAACCCGTCAAAGCTGCTGGCCGTGTTGACGATCAGGTCGAACGTCATGACGTGCGGCTCGTTCCAGCCCTTGTCGGCCGTCGCCAGGAACCCGTCGGCGCCCAGCTTGCGCGCATCCTCCTCCTTGGCGTGCGTCCGGCTGATCACCCAGACCTCGGCCCCGAGCGCCTTCGCAAACATCACGCCCAGGTGGCCGATGCCGCCCAAGCCCACGATGCCGACCTTCTTGCCGGGGCCGCAGCCGTTGCGCACGAGAGGCGAGTACGCGGTCAGGCCGGCGCAGAGCATCGGGGCCGCCACAGTGCTGGGAAGGGCGTCGGGGATGGGGAAGACCCTAGGAAGTAGTCAGCAAAGGGCGGACCTCAGGGCATCGGTGAGCGGGCCACGAACCAATGCTCATGTGTCCGCACATGGGACGAGTAGCCGCCCTGCGAGACGATGCCGGTATCTGGCCAAACGGCGCCATAAGTGTCCAATTGCTTCCTGCAATATGTCTCGTTGTCGTTCTTGCATTGACGGCAGTCCAGGCAGGAGTAACTTTGCGCGCCAACACCCACACGCTGGCCTTCCTTGATCAAGGTCACCTTGGGTCCAACACGAATGGCCGTTCCAACGATTTCTGCACCCTGTCAGCGGTCCGAGTTACGCTGGAGAGGAAGGACTGAGCCCTACCGTGCCCAACAGCCAGGGGGTAGTGCTGCTTGCCCCAACCACCGCTGATGGTGTGGACATCGCTGGCGCAGACACCGCAGCACTCGACCTTGATGTCGACGTCATAGTCGCCAAATGGCTTGGGTTGGAACTCGTTCTTGTGGAAGTCGAGCCAGGTTTCAGGCCCGTTGACCTGGAAGCCGGTGAACTTGTCGGGGTACGGCATGGTGAGCAGCGTACAGATCGAGATACTGGTGCCGGAATTGAGGGGGATGAGAGGGCAAGAGGACGGTCAAGCTTCACAATTCACTCAGAAACGAAGAGCGGAAGCACCCCCCGTTTTAAGGATGCAACCCCCAACGTTGGGAGGGGCTCTCCCCACATGCACGGGCGGACGACTGGAGCATCGTGATATTATCCAGGAATCGTCTGACTGGGCAGATTCTCCCAGGCGTGGTTCCCGCCGTAAAAGAACCGCCTCAACCAAAGGCTGATGATGATGGTTCTCCTTATCCGCCAACCCCGCCATGCCCCGCCAAGGGGCCAGGGCAGAGATGTGCATTCAGGCATGAGCCGAGATTTTCCCACAAATCAGAGCGCTTGCCAGCATCTGGTCCCAGCGCTGTGGATGGGAACTGCAAGGCGTGGGACAGTACTGTCGAACCGACATTTAGCTCGACATGCATGGAATCGAATCGATGAGATCGGAGTGCCTGGGTGGGAGGCTGACCGTTTGTTTGCAATGGCATTGTGGTTTGGAGAGGGCCGAGTGCTAGAAGTCGCACAACCTGTACGACCCGCTTCGCTCGAGCCAGGTGGGCTTGGCAAGTACTAACGCAAGGAGAACGGGAATGACCATTCTTCGCAGTCCAGAGTCCGACCGATCATTGTGCCCCTTGCTGACAGCGTGCCAGGACTCATTGCCCGCGGGAGGCTGTATAGCTCCAGGCGTAAGTGTGTCATCAAGCCCTTGGAGCTTAGAAGCTGAAGATAAAGGCAACAGTACGGAGGTACGAAGTGTGCCGGAGTGAACAAGAGATGCGCCATGGGAATAGGGGCCACGGAAAGACGACCGTGGATGAGACTAAGGACTCCGCGAGAAAACGAGAACAAGTAAGCGTCGGTTGATCATGGTCGCTCCAATAAAGCCGAGTCCAGCGCCTGCCGTATGGCCTGGCACTCAAAAGTGCTGCCTTCGGCGACCGCCGTTCAAGCAGCTTTCTTCTGTTGCTTGCCTTTGCGGTCGAGTCCAACACCTGCCAGAAAGGCAATCCGCATCGATGCCGCGAAATACACATAGCCAATGTTGCCCCAGTCGATGGCATTCCACTCGAAGACGCACCAGTAGATCCTGGCCCCCAGCACTCTGACAGTGTAGAGGTGGCCGAAGTCTGCGATAAGCAAACAGAAGAGCATGACCTTCCAGACGCGCAGGTCAGAAGTCGACCGCAGAATGAGTGCCTCACTGAGAGCAAACGCAAAGTAGAGGTTGGCCAGCTGCGACATGGCGATTGAGGTGCCCAGCGGAACGGGCGAAGGAGCAGAGGCGGCATGAGTGAGATCGAGGTAGGTCTGCTGGTCGAAGAAGGCGTAGTAGGCGCCCGCCAGTGTCGCAAGGGGTTCGATGAGCAGGAAAAAGAGTCGGTACGTCAGAGGGAGCGCGAAGCCCGAGATCTTAGCCGCTGCCGGACTGTCAGAGGCCGTCTGCTTGGTAGTGGCCATGGTTTGATAAGAGTCGGGAGAGAATTTGACTGCCTGCGTGTTCGGTGCACCTTCGCAGACTCGGAGAAAGAAAGACCGGATGTCAGCAGTCAATTGACCAGACGAACATGGGTCCCTTGCGTCGCGTTCCGCCGTTCACACCGCCTGCCCTTTCAGCCGGACACACCAAAGCTGAGGGCTGCAAACCCTAAGCTCCAATTCAGCCCGACCTAAATTTTCCGCAGACATTCAACCTCTTGGTATCGACTCGAGATCTTCAACCCGGTACCGTCGACAACCGCCAATATGAGCTCCTCGCCGTCCCTCAACAAGATCGCGGCCAACAGCCCGAGCCGCCAGAACCCCTCTGAGCTCGAGCAGGCCATCGCCGGCGCTCTGTACGACCTCGAGACCAACACTGCCGACCTCAAGGTCGCCCTCCGGCCTCTGCAGTTCGTCTCGGCCCGTGAGGTGAGAATCCGCTCGTGAAGCAACCGCACCTGCTACGTCCGAACCGCATCCGACTCCTGTTCCGCCGATTTGCGGGCGCGATTTAGACATCGCCGCGCATTGGGCGTCGCCGCATTGGAAATTTGATCGCACATGGAAAGGCGGGCGTAAGCAGCGCCAGCTTGCTCTGCCCTCAGGCCATAACATCAAAAACCCATACAGCAGGCGGAATAGGACGGGAGCGGTCCAAGGATTGCACTGTCATCCTGGAGCTCGCATGCTGACTTGGATCTGCTACAGATCGAAGTCGGCCACGGCAAGAAGGCTATTGTCATCTTTGTCCCCGTCCCTTCGCTGCAGGGCTTCCACCGGGTTCAGCAGCGGTAAGCATGATTTTTCCGGAAACAATGACCTGTTGCTAACAACGGCTGCAGCCTGACCCGTGAGCTGGAGAAGAAGTTCTCCGACCGCCACGTTCTGATTCTGGCCTCGCGCCGCATCCTCCCGCGCCCCAAGCGCTCCAGCCGCTCGCGTAATACCCTCAAGCAGAAGCGCCCCCGCTCGCGCACCCTCACCGCCGTGCACGATGCCATCCTGACCGACCTCGTCTACCCCGTCGAGATTGTTGGCAAGCGCCTCCGCACCAAGGAGGACGGCTCCAAGACTCTTAAGGTCATCCTCGACGAGAAGGAGCGTGGCGGTGTCGACTACAGGCTCGACACCTACTCGGAGGTCTACCGCCGCCTGACCGGCCGCGGCGTCGTCTTCGAGTTCCCCCAGACCAGCGCCGCTGATTATTAGGCGTGAGGAGATGGCTTGTTTGTAGGCTGGCGCACCGAGGACAGATTTGGGTTTGGTATTCGGGTTCGGGTCTGATGCACGGGCATCCAAAAGGGACGGCGTTCAGCTAGCTTGTTTTCAATGCAAGCTTGATATTTCAGCACATCACAATACAAGCCAATCTGCCTGACGCCGCTCGTGAATCCCTGTGGCTTTGGAGGGGTATTCCTGACACGCTGCTCTTCTGCCTAATATTTGGCGCTTCATACTCAACTTGGACTGTTTGACTTTTCTTCTGACTCGGATCACAAGCGAATCCCGTGGCTCGGATGCTGTTCGCGTGCCCAGTCCAGCACCCTCCGCCAGATCTCAGCGCCATCGTGCGGTCTTTCCATGGCTTGCTCGATGTACGCCAGAGCCGCCTTGTCGTCCCCTTCCAGGCCAAACCACCGTGTGGCGTCCCTTATCCTCAGCCTGGCGCAACGGGCATCCTTTTCTGGGTGCCCCTGGAACGTCAAGATCGTGTTGTTGTGGCTTAAGAAGCATTGGTTGCCGACGAGTAACTCGGAGAAGCCTCTTGGGGGGGTCCCGACCGCTCGGCGGTGGTGCTGTTGCAACAGGACGACCCCGTCCCCGCTCTGCCTCGCAAAGAAGCGGCAGCCGGCCGGTGTCAGCTTTGCTTCGGTCACACCGAGCTGCAGACGAGTTAGCCGGGCTGTTTTGCACCAAGTCCATTAGCGCTCCCGGCCTACCTCGGGAGTCTCCATATCCACCAGCTCGGCACCGAACAGCATCGAAATGGTTTGGTGGCCCCAGCATATGCCACACAGCTTCTTGCGAGGGTGGTTAGCTACTACATCGAGGATGAACTTGTGCACGCGCAGGATCCATTCGTGTTTTTTCCGCGGGTCGGCGTTGCTGCCGCCGACGACGATCAGGTCAAAGTCGCTCGGGTCTGGGAAGTCGTCGGCCTTCTCGGCCGGGTAGAAGAAGGAGAGCACGGCATCCGGGGCTACGGCGCCAATGGAGCGGACGTACGAGTCGTGGATCTCGGCGATGAAGGGCGAGCGGTACGAGTTGAGCAGGATAGCGATCCGCAGGGGCCTGTCGTTGTCGTCTGCCGGGCTCATGTTGAATGAACCGAGGGAAAGGCGGATATGGGCATGTTGGGGTGCCGGTAAGGTGCCCGGTCTCTGGGATTTATACCTGACTTGGGCGGCTTCCAGTTACTCAAAGTAGCTGCCGGTGTCAGCTGATGTCTCGCTTCAGGTGTCACGACGCGGGTGTGGAGCACCAATGGCCCCGAGCTAATGACATCATCCGGAACGGTGTTGCGAGATCAGCAGTACCGGCTGGGACAAAAGACATCATTGTTTCATGATTGCCAGCTTGGTAGCTCATAGCCGGCAGCACCAGCGACTCGGATATCAAGTGAGTTACATTGTTTTTAACAGGAACTCAACTGTGACCTTGGAGACCTGAACAGCCCCAGCATTTCAAGTGGGTTCGAATCCGGGTCCCGAGCCGGAAGTTCATCCTATTGGCTATCCTAACACAGCCGAGATTCCACGTTCAACTCCAGGTCGTTTGAAGAAACGATCTCGTTGTGAGAAATCCATCAATGTTCACGTTTCATCGATGCTTCAACTCTTGACTCGAGAACCGAAAGTGAGTACGATAATCATACCGTTACAACATGGTCTCATGGACACTAATTTTCCAATGCCTCCAACGACCCGATTTTCAAAGCAACCCAAGTTGAACGGCATACAGCCGTATACCTAAGGTACCCGTACTTAATCGGCGTATCCCATTTGCCCACCACATCCGTTCTCCCTCACGATTGAGACTTTAGCTGGATGGTCAGTCACCGTAGGGCTAGGAACGAACTCCCAGGTCACTCAATAGCACACACCTCGTAAATACGCACAATACCGGGCCAATCCATGTGACCGACTGTCGCCGATATTTTCCAGCTCGACTCGGACCTCGAAGCATCGGAGCTGGTGTTCAGCTTCTTTCTTGCCGCGTTATTACCGCCTCCCAAAAGCTCGTTCACAATCCAGGCCGTATACTATATCTCTCCTAAAAGTCTTCAAAACCGGCGCCTTTCGAAAGCTCTGAGAAAACCTTATCTAACTACGCCGACTGCACGCCCGCGCACTTTGCTGCG